TTTTTCCGTGTCCGGCAACGGATCGCAACCCTCAGTGTTGCCCCTGCACCGGACTGGGGACCGGCAACGGGATTGCAACCCTCGGCGCTGCTCCCGCGCCTCGCTCAGCCAGTGAGCGGGAACCGGTCTGCATGTGGGATCCGAACCCTCGGGCAGGAGCGCCGCCGCGCTTCCCAAGCGGCGCACTATCCAGTGCGCCACCGGGCCGGCCCTGACTTTTTGTTTTAAGTTTACTGTCTTTTCTGGTAGAAAATTAATGGCCTCCCATAATAGGAACTGGTGGAAGGTTAATATTTAATTCCTATATCCAGTTTACCATCTATCTATAATTTTCTGTGCATGAAGACTGAAAGAAGATGAAACTAAATTATTCTTTTGAACAAAGACAAAATTTGACTGGTAGTCTTAAGATGTTCTCTACATTTACAAGTTATTTTACTTTTCAGCCCTAGTTATTAGCTGATTCTAAGCTGCACATTCTGCTACTGATTATTATTTCATAAAAGCCATAACTAGAGAGGATTTCCTCCTTTGGCCCAAGGACAAATGTGATAAGGATTTAGTTTTTATTTCTAATTATTCTCTGAAAGTATCAATATATATTTAACTTTCAAAATCATTCTTAACCTGTTTATATTTGCATATTAATATGTATGTACGAAACTTGGTACATATGCGTTTTAGCCCGTTTTGTGTTGCTATAACAGAATTACCTGAGACTGGGTAATTTATAAAGAAGAGAGGTTTATTAGGCATACGATTCTGGGACAGCTGCATCTGGCATGGGCCTCAGACTGCTTCTACTCATGGCGGAAAGTGGCAGGCAGCCGGCAGGTACAAGCAGTTCACATGGGGAGAGGAAGCAAGAGACAGAGAGAGAAGAGAGGAGGTGCCAGGATCCTATAAACAACAAGCTCTCGCAGGAACAAATAAAGCGAGAACTCACTCATTACTCCCCCCTTCCCCAGGGAGAACATTAATCCATTCATGAGGGATCTGCCCCCATGACTCAATCAGTTTCCAACCATGCCGCATTGGAGATCAAATTTCCACATGAGTTTTGGAGGGGACAACACATCCAAACTCCATTAATATGTATATTTGTACATAATGTCTAAAAAACAGCTTTCTTGTTTGTATTTTCACCAGAGATAATAATTAGCAAATTTAATATGAAATAACATCTTAGGATGGGAAAAATTTTTAATTTGGATGATCCTTAAGTTGAATCTCATCCTTTACCAATAATAGTCAGACAACAAATATGGACGTATTGACCTTCAGCTAGTTGCCAGGCACAGTCTAATGCCGGGGAGGCATGATGAACTAAACAGACATAGTGCTTTCCCTCACAGAGATTCCAAGCAAAAGTCTTGTAGCTTTTGCTTGAAAATGTCTAATGAAGAACTCATTACAAGTGGCCATAAAATCTGGAAACACAGGTGGATGTATATCTTAAGTGGTTTAGAGATGATACATTACATCAGGGTTTCTCACTCTTGGCACTGTTAGCATTTTGGACTGGATTACTCTTTGTTGCAGGGGGCTATTCTGGGCATTGTGGGTTGTTTAGCAGCATCTCTGTCTGGCCTCTACCCACTCAATGCCAATAGCACCCCTTCCCTGATCCCCTTCCAGTCACGAAAACCAAAAATGTCTTGACATTTCAGATATCCCCTGGGGGGCGAAATTGCCCCCAGTTGAGAACCACTGTATTAAATGGTATGTTCAGCGTGTTGTCCCTCATTTGCATTGCTTCAAATGATTTGGGACTCTGATAAACCTGAGCCTTGAGCTTGCTGCACAGGTAGTAATCAAGGAGTTCAATTTATAAAAAAGCAGAATAACGTCTACGTTTCAAGGCTTTACTTTGTAGTTTGGAGACAAACAAGTTACTTCTTGGAAAGAGCTAATTATTTGAAAGTTTTTTCTTCAACCAAAATAGAATCATATCCGTGTCACTTTCAGCCATCATTGATCCTCTTTCTTTTGGAGCTCTATAAAACACTTCTGATTTTTTTCAGAAGGCAGCCCTGCAGATACTTGCATAAGGTTATCCTGTATTCCTGAGGGTTCTTTTTATTTTTATATAATTTTAGTATTGGAAGGGATTTTATTATTTCAGCTTTCTTTTTAAAAGTGTGTGTGTATGTATATTGTTTGATTTGTTTTTATAGCTAAGGAAACTGAGACCCAAAAAATGTTAAATGAATTTCAGGTAGTCTTATGACTAGTGAGTGGTCAACTAAAGTTAGTTCTGAGATTTCCTGACTTTCAGTCCAGTGTCTTTATTAGGTTCTTCTTTTGTCTTCCCTCACTAGCATGTTAGCTTGATGAAAGCAGGAGCTTTTTATGGCTTGTTCAAAACTGGATCCTTAGCCCCTAGAAGAGCATTTGGCACATACTAGGTGTTTACATACAGATTTGTTGACTGAATGAATGTATGAATGAATTTTTTATTTGATTTGGGTCCAAAACTTTCCTTTATCTGGTTTGCTTTTCTTCTGGAAAGACCAACCTAACAAAATTTTAAAAAATTACAATGACATACAGTCACACAACACTTAACAGTTAGCAGGGATATGTTCTGAGAAATGCATCATTAGATGATTTCGTTTGGTGCAAACATCATAGAGCCTACTTAACACAAACCTAGATAGTATAGCCCACTACACACCTAGGCTATATGGTATAGCCTATGACTCCTAGGCTACAGTCCTATACAGCATGTTACTGTACTGAATGCTATAGGCAAGTGTATGTAACATAACGGTAAGTATTTGTGTATCTAAACACATTTATACATAGAAAAGGTACAATAAAAATACAGTATAAAAGATAAAAAATGGCATACCTGTATAGGGCACTTACTGTGAATGGAGCTTGCAGGACTGGAAGTTGCTCTGAGTGAGTCAATGAGTGAGTGGTAAGTGAATGTGAACTACTATACATTACATTTATAAATACTGTACACTTAGGCTATACTAAATTTATACATAAAAAAAGGTAATTGTGCTATGAAGTTATGATGGTTCCCATGTCATTAAGCTGTAGGAATTTTTCAGCTCCATGATAATCTTATGGGACCACCGTTGTATATGCAGTCATTGTTGACTGTAATATCATTATACAGCACATGACTGTATTAAGATCTGATTTTAGTCTTCCAGATGTGGTGTAATAATCAATGAAAGCTGTTAACCTGCTGTGTGTGGATACCATGTTTCTATTAATACAGTCTAAGATTGTATTGTCTTATATCAGCTTTTAGTGATATAAATTCTTTAGCCTTTTTCATATGACCATTGAGCCATAATTTCTTATTCTTTGTACTTTGTAGTATTTTTTATATTTGAAATGTTTGTCTCAGGACTAATCACTTACTGTATTAAAACTGAGATCTGCTTTCATAAAATTCAAGCCTGCTAATAATTGATGTATGAATTTTCACAAATATGTATGTTTTCTGAATGTTTTTTGTCTTCAAGGGGATCCTGGCTCAGCAAATGCTCCTTACGCACCTGTAATTCAGTCATGTAGTCTTAATTAAGTTAACAATTGGTCTGGGCCTTTGATAGATACCTAAAGACTCTGGTTCATGAATTTCTTCCAAGGCAATTTCTTCTTTGTCCAGAGCACACGTACTAGCTTGGATCCCTACTAATATCTGCAATATGGAAGATCAGCTAATGTATTATTTATTTTTTTACATTTATGATAAGAAATACGTTTCTTTTTTAGCAACATTTTTCTGACTTTATATAACCCACTCATGGTTATTAAATTAAAAGGTATTTGAATTGAATAAATTTATTGGAGTTTCTCTTCTTATTTTTGATATTAGTAAGGCAGGCTGGAACAAAATCTAAATGCTGATACCTGAAATTAAGAGATGATATAATTAAACTATTATTTACTTTTCTGGAAATGATTGCTAAATAAGATAAAACTTACATCTGCTAATTGTTCTGTGATCTCATGTTCCTGTGCAGTGGCTGTGTCAGGGAAGGACAGTTTGACAGTTATACTGTTACATCATAGTAAATAAATTGGTTCAATGAAAGGTTCAATTTGATCTAAGGTGAAACACCTTGATGAAGAGTGAAAAAAAAAAGAGGTTAAGGGGGCAAACACTAAAAACACTAAAAATAGAATTTATTAAATACATTTGTTAAAACATTTGCCCTGGAGGTTATAAATATAAAAGCAAACAATATTTGTAAGTTTTGCTATTTCTCTTCTGTAGTGACATTCTTGAGCATAAATGTGTACACTAAATAGGTAATTTTTCCCTGTGAGGACCAAAACCTTCATTGTCCTTGGGAATAATAACAAATATATTTCCCACACCTAAACATTGAGAATAGTTACTGTGTATTGTAGACGTGTATCTATACTTTTTAACTTTGAAAGACAGCATGTTTACTTGGATGTTTTTATTATGGGTACGTAGATGCCACAGTCTACCATCTATATATTTGCGTATATGTTCACATAAAGGCATCTATGTCAAAAACAGATATTTTTGTGTCTTTTTAAAGGAAAAAAGGAAATGATTTATAAGAATAGGAAGAAAGGTGATATTGGATCTAGAATATAACTGTTGGGTTTTTGGTTGAATAACATCCTTACTTAATTATTTTAGTTCACCATGGTCTCTCTCTAATTGAAACACATTTTCTGTGATTTAGTTTTTCTGGAAAAGTTCTTTTTCTGTATTATGAATGTTCTTCAGTCAAAATGTATGTGTTCTGTAATTTGAGAGAGATGAAATGCATCAAAAGAAAAAGCAAAGTCTGTAGTTAAACTATTAAATACAGAGATTGCCCGTATAGAATATTTCATCAATTCTAAGAAGCCCTTATTTTTACTTTTCTCTGAAATTGGGGATGTGTCTTACTTTGTATGGTGTCTTACAATTGACAGTGGTTTTTCATTCATTTTGTACATCAAATAATATTGCATCTCACAATTGATAATGTTGTAGAATCTATGAAACATTTGTATATAATTATGTGGGATAAGTGTTAGATGAGTTACCCAGTATGTGTATCTGTGAAAGCTATAGACCAAATATTTTTTCCCTTATGTTTTCATATTTTGGAAAATTGTTTTTATGTAGGGGTCAACCTGCCATTAAGCTTCTTACTATTTTAGTACATTTTCATTAAATTTTATTAGATTGATTATATAAGAATAATATAAATGGTTCCAAAAAATTTTGCTTTTTTAAGGTTAATATTGTTAACCTTATGCTTGCTGAGTGTTTTTACTAATACCACACACTTGGCAGTATAAAATATATCTACTTTTTCAAAGCCTTTTTATAATTTTTAAAAAGTTGGATAGCTATTATCTGGAATCTGATGTAGATTTTTACAAGGTGATAACATATTTTTTGTTTTGTTTTCAGAGTCTTACATTTAAAGAAAAAGTAACAAGCCTTAAATTTAAAGAAAAACCTACGGACCTGGAGACAAGAAGCTATAAGTATCTTCTCTTGTCCATGGTGAAACTAATTCATGCAGATCCAAAGCTCTTGCTTTGTGTAAGTATTTTTTATGAAATGCCTTGAAATTATTAAACTAACATAATTTGGTTTAACTGAAATGCCAAGACCTTGAAGGTAATTGTTAGGTAAAGAACACTTATTGACCTTTTCTGATCATACCTGAAACCTATGACATCCCTAAGAAAACTAACTTATTGAGAAATATTTGATCAGATTTCTTAACCCTTTTTCTTGATTTCCCTTTTCATTAAACTAACATATTTTGGTGAGATCTTCTGTCCTCACCCTGTTACCAGGTTATATATTATTCAGTTATAATCCTGGGAAAGGGGCGGAGGTGATGAAGCAACCATAAATTGCAGTGCATTCTACATCTGCACTGTTGGATTTTAAATCTCCAGTTGCTATTGCTGAACAGTTTAGCTTTTCTATCCCCCTTTCTTCCTGTTACCAGCCTTCTATTATCATTGACTCTGCCTACAAATACTGTATTGGAAGGAAAAGGAGGTGAAAATGGGTGTGGTCAGTACTTAATTATTGTCATAGCTCTGCTCTTACTGCCTCTGATGGTGTTAGATTTCTGAGAACATCACCCTGGTACACAGAGTAATTAGGAACTGATGTAAATGACGTAAATGAGTGATAGTTACATGAAGTGATTAAAAGCATGGGCTCTGGTGACAGCTACTTACTGGCTATGTGATTTGGGTGACTTTCTTAGCCTCTCTGTGCCTTAGTTTTCTCATCTGAAATACCGGGATAATAGTTCCTACCTTAGAGAGATAGTTAAGAAGATTGAAATAGTACAGGTAATGCTTTCAGGAACAATACCTGGCTAAATAAAAGTGCTAAATAAATATTAGCTATTGTTACTATTAATAAGATACAGTTAACATTAACAATATTATTAATGCCCCAAATGTAACAGTTCTATATTGTTTAAGATTTGTTGAATGGCTCCAGTCCCTGGAGAGCATCAAACAAGGTTTCTTATTGCTTTATGTAGTAACAGGATTTTTAGGTGCTAAGATGCTTCTAATCTTGATGGCATAGTTTTCAAATTACTATCATATAGAGTTTTATAACTAGATGTCCATGGTTTCAAGAGTTCTGTGAACCTCCTGAATTTTTTTTAAAAGTGCGTATGTGAGTAATTTTTCAGGAGAGAGAAGAGGGAAGAGAGAGAAAGAAATCCCAAGAGGATCAGTGACCCCAAAAGAAGCCTATGATATTTTGAACTCAAAAACCTTATCCAAATTGGGAAGTCTAATAGAATAAATAGTTAGATCTTTGGCATGGAACAATTCTATAAAATCTGTCAGTGAGACTATAAAAGTAATGAAATGCCCTTTTTCCTCATTTCTTTGTTATGTAGCATAAATTGTATGTAGTTTTATTTCATCGTGCATGTCATATAACAGCATTACTCTGTTTACATGGCTATAGTTCAGGTTCAAAGAATGTATCAACACTTATTGGAGGGAGCTAAAGGTGAATGAATCAATTCACACACACACACACACACACACACACACACACACACTCTCTCTCTCTCTCACACACACTCACACAAAAACAAACAGCAACAACAACATCAACAACAACAACAACAACAAAAAACCGGGGAGGGGGGGAGAGGAAGATTTAACAACCTCAACTTTTTTTTTTTTTGAAGCTCTTACAATGAGAAAATGGAGGGGACACATCTAGGTGGGAGGGGGAAGAGGGAGGAGGGAGGGAGGTTTTGGTGATGGGACACAATAACTAACTACATTGTATATTGACCAAAAAAAAAAAAAAAAAAAAAAAGAATGTATCAAAGCCACCGGTGCCTTTTGTGTTAGGTGTATTATTATTGTTCCGAGAACAAGAGTTTAAGCAAAACCTGTTTTCCATGGGTCATTTAAAATGGAAGTTATGATATAAGATCAATATCCCAAAACCAGTCGTATTTCTATACACTTGCAATGAACAATCCAAATATGAAATTAAGAAAACAATGCCACTTACAATAGCATCAAAAATAATAAATGAATCAATTCACACACATACATACACACACACACACACACATACACACACACAAAAAACAAACAACAACATCAACAACAACAACAACAAAAAAAAAACCAGGGCGGGGGGTGGGGGAGAGGAAGATATAACAACCACAACTTTTTTTTGAAGTTCTTACAACAAGAAAATGGAGGGGACACACCTGGGTGGGAGGGGGGAGAGGGAGGAGGGAGGGAGGTTTCGGTGATGGGACACAATAAATAACTACATTGTATATTGACAAAATAAAAATAATAAAATAAATAAATTTAAAAAAAAAATAGAATGGAAGTTATTTTCTTTGCTGCCATCTAGTGGTTAAATAACTTTCATCATAGTAACCATAGATAAGTTAAAATAGTGAGTCATAGTAAATATTTGATTATTTTGTATTTTATATATAAAAATCTCAGTGTTAGTAAATACAAATGTAATAATGATTAAATAGTCTCAGGCCGGCCCATGGCTCACTCGGGAGAGTGCGGTGCTGATAACACCAAGGCCCCGGGTTCGGATTCCATATAGGGATGGCCGGTTGCTCACTGGCTGAGCGTGGTGCTGACAACACCAAGCCAAGGGTTGAGATCCCCTTACCGGTCATCTTTAAAAAAAAAAAAATAAATAAATAGTCTCAATCATGGTAATTTTATCAGCACCGCACTCTCCCGAGTGAGCCACGAGCCGGCCCGCTCAATCATGGTAATTTTAAATGATTTTATTGTCTTTCATCTCCACCATCTCTGTTCTCATCTGTATTATTCTCAATTTTTCAAGCCTCCTAATGGCTCAGTTTGTGTCATTTCTTACATCCCACTAATCACTTCTCTGCACTGAAGATATGGTGACCTCTTCAAAAAGCAAGTCTTATCATGCCCCTGCCCAACTTAAAACCTTTTAATTGAAAGTGCTCTTGGGATAAAAACCAAACTCTTGATAGACCTACGAAGTCATGCAGTCTTTCTCCCACATACCACTTCTTTCACATCTGTCATTACATTTTTCTTTGTCTTCTCTACTCTAGTCATGATGGCCTTTCTCTTAATTCCTCTTACTCCCCACATTCCCTCATACCTGCCCTTGCACTTGCTTTTCTTTCTGCTTAGAATCTTCTTCCGTCTTCTCTTCACATAGTAATTCCTGCTAATTCTAAGCCGTTATCACCGCCGTAAGGAAGCCTCCCTGACTAGGCCACATTTGCCTGTTATAGACTCTCATAGAAGCATGCAGCTTTATACCTCTGATCTCATTGTTGGTCTGATTTTTTAATTGATGTTTATCTTCCGCATGAGACTACATGCTCCTAGAGGGTAGGAAGCACATCTTTTTTTATTGTTTGTGTCTCTGGTGTTCAGTAGATATTATTGGGTTATGAATGAATGAATATAAATGCCAGAAAATAGGCTAACAGTTTCAAGTTACAGATATACTGGGGTAAGAGCTTACCTTAGTCATTATAATAGGGAAGAATCTGTAGTTAGCAAAATAAAATATGGACACAGTTACATTGGCCTCACTTATGTGAGCCATCTATTCTTGAAGTATAAATAGATGCTTCCAAGTTAAGAGAAGCATTTTAGTCTTTTTAAATAGATAGTCATTTATATTTATATAGGTCATTAATTTACTTTGTTTAGTACACCATGTCTTTATACAATGAAAAGGACTTAAGTATGGGTATATGGAGGTGTGGATTTTAGCCCTTCTTTTGACACCAGCTGTGTGGATTTGGGCAGGAACTTTGTACTAGACAAGAGGGCCGTACAGGATAATCATGCAGTCATCATCCAACATGTATGTTCTTTACTTTTGATCACAATTATTTATAAGCTCAAAACCAGGAAGTTCTGAACCAGAGGTATATTATTTAGTCAGCATAGTGTTGTTGAAAAAAAATTACTTGCCCCTCCTATGATTGATATAATTTCTTAACTGAAAACCTAATATCTAGTTTTTGTTTTCTTTTAATCAGGATTTTTCCTGGACATCATTCACATTAATGAACAAGTATAGGTGCGAATTGAGAAAATTCCTAACAAAAGCAGTTTTGATTTTTTAAAAAATTCTATTGCTGTTATTATTGGGATATAATTCACATATCATACAATTCACCATTAAAGTATGCAGTTCAGTGGTTTTTTAGTATATTTACAAGGTTCTGGAACCATCATCACTATCTAATTCTGGAACATTTTTATCACCCCTAGAAGAAACCTAGTGTCCATTAGTAGTCGCTGTTCATTCCTTCCTCTCTCTAATCTCTGTCGATATATATATATATATATATATATATTATTATTATATATTTTTTTTAATTGAAGTTTGATTTTTTTCCTTGCAGAATCCAAGAAAACAGGGGCCTGAAACCCAAGGCAGCACAGCAGAATTAATTACAGGGCTTGTCCAACTGGTCCCTCAGTCACACATGCCAGAGATTGCTCAGGAAGCAATGGAGGTAAGGGGAAGATGAATTCTAGGCTCTTGAGAGAGGAAAGGTTGTAACTATGTACGTTCTTGATGTTCCTCTGTTATATGCTTTCTGTGAGTAATAAGTAGAAGTCATTTCTGGAAATGGTGTGTTTGTGGCTATATGTTGTTTTATAAAACTCCATAGAGATAGAAATGGTTTACTTTGTATTACATGTAGCAACAACACTTTGCAAATTCTTCTGTTTAATAAAAAAAGTTCAAAATTGTCTAAATGCAGTTGACTTTTCTGAATTTTTAATACATATTGATTTTCAAATTGAGACATAATTCACCTACTATAAAGTTCACCATTTTAAAGTGTACATTTTGAGGTTTTAAGATATTCACGTGGTTGTATAACCATCACCACTATCTAATTCCAGAACATTTTTGTCACCCCGGAAAAAACTTCAACATTCCCCATTCCTTCATTCCCCCATCTCCCCATCCCCTGGTAACCACTAATCTATTTTCTGTCTCTGTGGATTTGCTTATTTTAAACATTTCATATGAATAGAATCATACAATATGTGGCTATTTATGTCTGGCTTCTTTGACTTACAATGTTTTCAGGGTTTGTCCATGTTGTGGCATGAATCAGTACTTCATTCCTTTTAATTGGCAAATATTTCATTGTACAGATGTCAATTTTGTTCATTTGTTCATCAATTGATGGACATTTGGAGTTGTTACCACTTTTGGCTATTATGAATAATGCTGCTATGGACATTTGTGTAAAAGTTTTTATGTGGACATATCTGTTAGGTACATACCTAGAAGTAGAAGTGCTGAATCATACGGTAACTCTGTTGAACTTTTGAGGAACTGCCAAACTCTTCTCCAAAGTGACTGTGTCATTTTATATTCCCACTAGCAGTATATGAGGGTTTTCTAGTATCTCTGCATCCTTGCCAACACTTGTTATTGTCTGTCTTTTTCATTATAGCCATCCTAGTGGGTATGAATACAGTTGACATTATTAAAAATTATTTTTATATTGATTACTTGATATGGTTTTAATTTAAGTCAATTCTATTGAGGTACAATTTACCAATAACAAAATTAAACAAGATTTAGAATATTTCTAATCACTGCAGAAAGTTCTCCAGTGTCCTTATGCAGTTAATACCCTCACCCCCTGTACCAGAAAACCACTGGTCTGATTTCTATCACTCTGTGTATTCTTATTTGTTTGGCTTCTTTCATTCAGCAAGTTTTTGACATTCATCCATGTTGTTGCAAGTGTTAGTTCCTTCTTTTTTTATTGTTGATAAATATCCCATTGATGATTATACCACAGTTTATTAACTTGTTGATGGGCACTTAAGCGAGCATATCCGTTACTGCCTGCCAAAAGTTACCCTGCTCTTTTGTAGTCCCTCTGTTGCTACATTCCTCCTTCCCCTTCTTACCCCTTGTCTGCCACCTTGCCTCATTTGCAACCACTGATCTGCTTTCTGTTACTATAGTTTACTTTTTATATAATGTTGAATTAAAGAAAATAGACAAAAAAGAGTATGAGGGTACTTCAAAAAGTTCATGAAAAAATAGAATTAAAAGATAATATGAATCTTTCAAGGAACTTTTTGAAGTATCCTTGTATATACTTTATGATTCTGTTTACAAAAATGCAGACTGTAGTAACAAAAGGCAGATCAGTGGTTGCAAAGGAGACAAGGGACAAGAATGGCGAATGCATTTGAGAAAATTCATTGAGCTTTAACCTTAAGATTTGCTACTTTACTATATATACTGTATAGCTCAGTAAAAATGTTTACAAAAAATGTTTCAGCGCTCATTGTGTTCTTATCGCTTGTATTTGTGTATATTGCTGTTGGTCCCATAAATTGGTACATTACTTGTATTTGTTTTAGAAAGATATTTAACAGTATTTGGCAGGAGCTGTACAAATATTTTGATTTTTTTGTTCCAAATAACTCAATTCCTGTTTATTTTTTGTCTTATAAGTATAATTTGAAAGGAAAGAGCTACACATAGATGTTTATTGCTGTTATTTATAATAGTATACTAGTAGAACTTTAAATATTCACTAGTAAGAGAATAGGTTAATAGTCATAACAAGATAATGTTATTTCAACTTGGTGAGCTGTTAAACATCCATTAAATTCTATGTGGATCACACAACAATACGAGAAAGTATTTATGAAATGTCAAGTGAGTATACTGTGTTTACAACTTTGTTAAAGTATGCATGGAAAATACAAAAAGGAAGGAAACATGAAAAGGAAAACAATCATATTAGGGTCGGGAAAAGGCTAACACATTCTCTTTCAATATTAAAAAAAAAGTTTCATCAAACAAAATTATACAGGATTTATCCTTTAAAAAAACGAAAAGACCAGTAAATTGTACCAAGTTTTTGTACAATAGTGACAAAATTTTTAATTTGTGCTGTTCTTCCTTGATATGCAAACTATAAATTGTCTAACTTTTGAAGATTCTCACAATGAATTGCAATTTTTACTAAATATCTAGATGTAATTACAATAAGAATGTTTGAAATAAGATAACATAGGTCTGGTCTTCATATAATTTATTATTTTGGGAGTTATAAAGTGGCCCAAGGGTAGACATTTACATATCTTTTCCTAGTGTGAAGCAGGTTATCAGTGCAGCTATTGCAGTTCATGCATTTGATTTGGTGTTAAGAGAAGAAATCATTTTCATTATTTGTTCCAAACAGTATTTGATTGGAGTTTTAGTAAAAGTCTTTAAAGGGGAGTAAAGAATCACCAAATATGTTGACCAGGGACTGAAAGAAATACCTGCAAAGCTTAACTGGGTTTGTCAGGGTGTTGGGAGGGCAGCATTGTGGAATTGAAGTTAAGTTAGGGTCTGTTTGAAGGATGAGTCTACCTTTTACTCTAGATACCTTTGATGGTTTTAATTTGTGTCATAATAGTGTGTTTACAGTTAGCTGTATATTTAAAATGAGTTGCTTAATTCCTGTTAATATTCTGTGAACCAAGTTCCAATTTCAGTTCTATAGTCAGTTGAAATACTTTAGGATGAATAATCTGCTATGAAATGCAAAATCTGTTTAGCTTCTGTCTTGTTTTTGAAAAATAATGTATCTTTTCTGTTACAAAAGCATCTGTGACAAGTAAAATCATTTCCACTTTATCTTTTGCTGTGTGTTAATTTTGGCGAGCCCTCCTTACTTGGGGATTAACTTTTTGTTCCATAGAGTTTTTTAATTATTGAAATAATTCTGTTTGTTTCTTAAAGCAGTTTTTACACATATATATTGTTCTGATTTCATCAATTATTTAATTTTATACGTGCACGCCATTTACAGTAAGAATGGTAGGAATAAAGTGATTTCATTCTGTATATATATATATTATTCCCTAGAGATTTATGTTCTCCAAAGTTTTTGTCTTTTGCCTTTTACTGTACATTGAGGCAACAATTAAATAGCTCAGTTGGTTAGCATTTATAAAATAAGTACTTTAGTGTTATGTTTACCAAAAATGTTTTGAGTGAGTCTTCTCTCTCTCTGTTTGTTGTTGTTTTTTTTTTTTAAATCAGGCCCTGCTGGTTCTTCATCAGTTAGATAGCATTGATCTGTGGAATCCTGATGCTCCTGTAGAAACATTTTGGGAGATTAGGTATATGTACTTATACTTTTTAAATCAATTTAAAAATTTTATTTCGTATTTTTTTGTCTTTAAACATTAACTCTGCAGTACTTAGTTCATTGTAAAACTTTATTCACCTATACCTCCAGAGGTTTTATGATTTTGCATTTTATTTGACTTGAAATTATTAGAATATTTCTTGTTTTAAGTATAACAACAGTATTGCAGCAATTTAGAATAAATTTTTAAAAATAGTGCTAAATTTTATTACCCAACCATAAGTACTATTGTTTGGTGTATTATCTTCTATTTCAGATTTCTGTGTAGTTACAGTTGTTGTTTTTAACAGATTTTTACAGTTATGAGCTGTATTTTACTACTCTAGAGTATAAATATTTAATAACATTAATAGATTTTCTCAGTTTTTTAACTGTGATATTTCATAAATTTTTCATAATACCAGTGCTTTTGATGAATGAATTAATAATGGACATCTACTTAGAAGGCAAAAATAAATACAGAATTTTATAGACTATTTTTTAGGTTATATTAATTGTTACATTTTAATGAGCATAAAGGGACCACATTGAAGTTTTATCAGTATTTTATCATAGAAATGGGTCCCTAGTCACTTGGCAGCTGAGTAAAATCCTAAATTCTAGAGCAGTGCTCTCTAACAGTAATATAATGTGAAGCACATAAGTTAATTTAAAATTTTCTAGTTATCATGTTAAAAAGTAAAAAGAAACAGGTAAAATTAATTTTAGTAATATATTTTATTTAACCCAGTATATATATTATATATTTATATTATATATTTATAATATTATAATTTCAACATGTAGTCAATATAAAAGTTATTAGTGAGATATTTTGTATTCTTTTTTCATAAAATCTTCAAAATTTGGTGGGAGCATTACACTAACAGCACATCTCAATTTGGTCAAGCCACATTTAAAGTGGCTGACTAGTGACTATCATCTAAGCAGTGCCACATAGTAAATGTTTTAGGTTTTGTAGATCATACAGTCTCTTTGATAACTATTTAGTTCTGCTTTCGGAGGATGAAAGCAGTCATAGATAATATGTGAATGAATGGGTGTGGCTGTGTTCCACTAAAGCTTTATTTACAAAAGCAAATGGTAGGCGGGATTTGGCCTGCAGGTGGTTGTTTGCAGACCCATGCTCTAGAGCACTGGGTTTATATACAGTCTATGTTGTGCACATGGTTTATCATTTCTTCTTGTATCCACTGCAAGGGTGGGATACACAGATGAAACATTGGGGGTTGGGGGAGTAGGGGGCTTATAAGTACTTGCTTTTTTTATATAACCTGTAGACTTATTTCCTTCGGTTATGATGCTGTTAAAAATTTGATAACCATATCTCTAAAACAAACCCTATAAAGGAAATTAAGCTTCTCTAAACTGCTATCTATTATGAGAAAATGCTATTCTTAACATACTGACCATATCTGTATTAAGTTATATTTATTGATGATGTTGGTAACAATGAACTTTATGTTACTGCAGCTCACAAATGCTTTTTTACATCTGCAAGAAATTAACTAGTCATCAAATGCTTAGTAGCACAGAAATTCTCAAGTGGTTGCGGGAAATTTTGATCTGCAGGAATAAATTTCTTCTTAAAAATAAGGTAAGCAAAATGACATCTTTGCAAATGGAAGAATATTTGGAATACTAATGGGTAGAGATTAGGGAAGTGTTCATTAGTGAAATATTTGTGCAGAGGACAATGGCTGACGAATCACTATTTTAAAAAAAAAACAAAACCACAATGTTGAGAAATTCTTGTTGAGTTAAGCAGGACTCTGTGGGGCAAGCTTAGGAGGAGCAGGGGCTGCTATAACCAAAGTAGGCTGAGGAACATATTCTATCTTTACTCTCAAGTTTATACATGAGACTTGGATCTCATGGCTAGGCTAGTCCAGAGAATGTCATCTGTCAAGAAGCTGAAGGGAAGAGGTTGAGGGTCCTCAATCTAGTTTTATTTATGTTCTTCCCATAAAGGTTTGACCTTTTGAAAATATCAGGAGTCTTCTTCCTTGGGTGGAGTGAAATTTTTTGATCCTGAACTATTGAAACATACTGAGGTTGTGGGGAATAGAGAAGAGCCTCAAATTTCTCTTAATATGTAGTTTCTGTAATTAATCAATTTAAAAATTCTTGTATTATGGCATAGTTTTAGGAGTACTTGATTTAGTGGATTTTTATCTAGTCCTAGAACCATAGCTTTGAGAAACTTTAAGTATATCAAACTCATGCTTTTCAGTACTATGCAGCTTGTTGAATTTTCTGTTTAGAAATGAGCTTTTGGTAAGGTGGGTTTATTAACTGTGGCTTATCTTGGTGTGTTAATCTTGTGTGTTATGTTGTGTGGAATTTAGCATTATTCCATTATCCAAAAGATAAAGAGATTAGATTTTAGAGTTTCATGACCTTGCCTATGGTATAATTTCTAGCATACAAGCATTATTAATCCAGCAGTGAATATGTAGTCCTCTGATCAGCAAGGACTGATCAGCAGTCCTCTTGTGACACAGTTGGTATATATACCAATGTTAATTACTGGTCCAGAAGAATGTAATCTCAAGAGTCAACTTCCCATTATCCTGATGTGGCACAGGATAAAATCTTGTAGGAGAAAGTCTTTGTTATTTATAACTGAGATTGCATTATAGATTTCATACAGTAGATTTATGTTAATGTCTTACTTCTGTCCATGTTAGACTTAATTTACACTTCTAGAATCTGCTGTTTCTGATGATTTGGAAAGTGGAAAACTGAGAGAAGTTTCAAAGACATTGAACAAACATTATTTGTCCTAATGGATTTCTAATGAATGTTCCTTAAAGTGGGGCATCGGGATTGGGAGGAGAGGTTTTTTAGTATAGTCTAAAACAGGAAGACAACTCATATTAAATATTTATTTCTCTTGGTTGACAGTGCTTATTTATTTATTTATTTATTTATTTTCTAGCAGGCAGATAGAAGTTCCTGTCACTTTCTCTTCCTTTATGGGGTAGGATGTGATGTTCCTTCTAGTGGAAATACCAGTCAAATGTCCATGGATCATGAAGAATTACTGCGTACCTCTCTCCGGAAGGGAAAAGGAAATTCCTCCATGGTAAGCAGCTTCTTTTGTAATTTTCATGTATCAGCATCCGTGCTCTATTTTTGTCCTGAATGAGCTAGGTAATGTAGCATAATAGTTAAAAACTGCTTAGATTCTCGTTCTGTCACTGCTCTTTGTGGAACCATGGGCAAGTTCTTATCATCTTTTGCCTGTCTCACTTTAATTTAAAATGGGGATAATAATTATTCCTGCCCTAGAGGATTAAATGAGATCACATGTAAATAGCACTTGATTATTTGGCACTTATAAGCTATGACTGATAAGTATAATTATTATAAGCCTCCACCCCATAAGAAAGACCATTCATACCCCCCAAGTTAAAAAGTTGTACCAAATAACAAAGGTAAGAATTTACTGGGATAAAAAAGTATTTTGATTGATATTATAGATAGTGTTTCCATGATTTTTGTTTTGTATATAATTCCTTCTAAAGAGAAATTGTACTAGAAGTGAAAATATCAAATCATTACAGAAGTTTCTTTTCCAGATTAAAACTTTTTTTATTCCTAATTCTTCTTTTTTTTAATCCACTCGTGCACACTGAACCTTTTTTAATATAACCTTCTGTTGAAGACAAAAACCACTAAGCAGCATGGTATTTACTATTGCCTGCCTTACCTGCAGAATTTGCACTTGTTTTGTAAATTAATTTCTCCATTTCATGTTTGGAGAATATATAATTCAGAATCAAGAATGTCTTTTACACAATATTTAGTTCTTGTTTGTACCCTTATTTCAGTCGGTGCTGCAGTGTTGTACTTATTTTATTTCTTCCCTCTAGCAAGTAGATAGAATTTTCTGTTACTTCCTCTTCCTTTGTTATTTATAATTGATGCCTGGGAAGTACATTACATTTTTCCTGCAGTAGATTTATGTTGTGGTGTTTTATTTGTGTCCATGTTAGATTTAATTTACATTTCTGGAATATGGAATAGGATAATACCTATTGATGTGAAATTGTACAGATTGTAGCATTATGTTAGTCCAAATAATCTTATTTCTCATTTAGACAAGATATTTTTGGGTTTGAAAAAAATCTTATCATGATTAAAGGAGAAAGCTCTTGTGAGTTATTGTATGCTAATATATATGGTACATAGTTTATTGCCTTGTTGGGTTTTGTAAATAAAATTATCTAATTCGCAAATATATGCCTCCCACCCCTGACTCCCAGGATAGTACAGCAGGGTGTGGTGGAACCCCACCAATATGCCGACAAGCCCAGACCAAACTAGAAGTGGCCCTGTACATGTTTCTGTGGAGCCCTGACACTGAAGCTGTTCTGGTAGCCATGTCCTGTTTCCGCCACCTCTGTGAGGAAGCGGATATCCGGTGTGGGGTGGATGAAGTGTCAGTACACAACTTCTTGCCCAACTATAACACATTCATGGAGTTTGCTTCTGTCAGCAATATGATGTCAACAGGTAAATGTAGATAATGGTTTTTTAAAACTCAGTCTGCCCTGAATTGCATGATATCTGATTGTGTTAGAAATGTAAGAATATATTTAAGATTATCACTTTGTAAATTTATGGGACTAAGTCAAACAGCTTACTTAAAATCCTTTTCTGAACAAGGTAGTGTGAAAATACATAGCATTGTTAGTCTCTCACTGAATTTTTAATATGCTATATATTTGTTAAATAACTGGCAGAATTGATTACTGTCAGTTGTAGATTATATAATTTACTCTGCCTGAACTGTATATAGTGAAGTTTTAAGCACATTGGCATCTGTTTTGAGTAAATCATATGTAGGAATAGCTGTTTTATGCTGTGGACATTGTGGAGTCCAATAAATACCTTTCCTGTGAGCCTGGTGAAAGGAAGTTTTCAGCTTTATCATTTGAAGCATTTGTTCCATTTCTCCTACTCTGCCTTTTGGGTGGGGCTTGTCAGGTTCTCCACTGGCAAGCATAGCTCTAAGTGCAATAACTGGATTTGCTGTTGTCTTTTCTTAGGAAGAGCAGCACTTCAGAAAAGAGTGATGGCACTGCTAAGGCGCATTGAGCATCCTACTGCAGGAAACACTGAGGTATGCCCTGAGCAACAGAAATACCCCTCCCAGGCCCACACCCTCAATTTTAGAAGCCTTACTTTACTGTGTGAAATCAGGAATAGCTTTTGATGCAAATCTAAGGTATGTGCATCTTACAAATAGGACATTATACTTAATACGCATCAAGTTTGAAACCTGGCTATTCCCAATTGATTTTTAGTTGTAGGCTTAAAGTTGCTTTAAAGTGATAATTTCCTTCATTTTAGGCTTGGGAAGATACACATGCAAAGTGGGAGCAAGCTACAAAACTTATTCTTAACTATCCAAAAGCCAAAATGGAAGATGGCCAGGTGAGTTTGTAAAGCTCATTTTTGTCTATTAATTGATCTGCTAAACATATGTACTTAACTTCAGTGAATCTTTTAGTATAGTAAGTATATAGTTGTTTTAAGACTGATGGTTTATCAGTTGTGGTTTATCTAGACCTGTACTGTCTAATATGGTAGGCACTAGCCATATGTAGCTATTTAAATTAATTTTAACTTAATTAAAATGAAATACAATTAGAATTCAATTCTTCAGTCATACAGCAGCCACATTTCAAGTACTCAATAGCCACATGTGGCAATTAGTTACTATATTGGATAGTAGAGATATAAAATGTTTCCATCATCATAGAAATATTGGACAGAACTGCTAGAGACCATTTATGGTGGAAATCATTCTTTCATTTTTTTTCTTACCCTTTCTCCCTTCATCAGGGTATGTCATAGAATTTTCAGAAAAGGGGCAACAGAGGCAGAGAAAAATAAATTAAAATTGAAATAATTAATTTTGCTATTTAGTTAGATATTCTAATTAACTGATCTTGTGGGCATAAGATTGAACCCATAGGTTAAATGAAATTTTAAAGTTTGGACAATTTATTCATCAGCTTATTATTATCGACTATATCATTTCATTTGTCTACTATTGTCAACCTACATCTATTACCCCAGAAATTAACAATTAATTGGTGTTTGCATGCATATAATTTGTAATGCCATATTGCTGTTATTGTTAGGTGTTTTAGAAAAACTGGATATTCTCTCATTGCTCTTTTCCCGTCATGCTTAATTAGAATGAGAAAAAAATTATGTTTTTGTGAAGCAGAATTGTGTACCTAATATCATTATTTGGCAAGGACATGTAGCTTTAGAATGAAAGCTCTTTTTTTGTTAACTATTTAATTGATATATAATTCACATACTATACAATTCACTCATTTAAAGTGTCCTATTCAGTGACTGCTTTTAGTATATTTACAGAGTTGTGCAACCATCACCACAAGCAATTTTAGAATATTTTTACCACCTCAAAAGAAAAAAACCAAAAACCCCATACTTTTTAGCTTTGTGTCTACCCTTAAGCCCCCACTTCTCCACCTCTCCATTCCTGGGCAATAGCTAATTTACTTTCTGTCTCTGTAGGTTTGCCTATTCTGGACGTTTCCTATAAATGGAATGATAGAAATGTGGGATTTGTGACTGGCTTCTTTAACTTAGAATAACATTTTCAAGGTTCATCCATGTGAACCAAAGCTTTTTAAAAGAAATTTTATGCTCTTGGTTATTATATTAGTCTAGTTAGGACAAATCAGTGGCTCTTTAAAAATGAACGAAGAGTCTTCAAAAAGTTCATGAAAAGATTCATATTATCTTTTAATTCCATTTTTCCATGAATTTTTTGAAGTATCCTTGTACGTGGTAATTTCAAGCTTTGATTTTTAAAATGTAAAAAATGTACTTTTTTCATGGAAAGAATGTTAGATAAAGAGTAACTTGTCAAGTTCTCAACCAATTTATGTTGAATTCATGCTTTTCACACACAAAAAATTTGTGTTTAGGCTGCCGAAAGCCTTCACAAGACCATTGTTAAGAGGCGAATGTCCCATGTGAGTGGAGGAGGATCCATAGATTTGTCTGATACAGACTCCCTGCAGGAGTGGATCAACATGACTGGCTTCCTTTGTGCCCTTGGGGGTGTGTGCCTGCAGCAGAGAAGCAATTCTGGCCTTGCAACCTATAGCCCACCTATGGGCCCAGTCAGCGAACGTAAGGGTTCCATGATTTCAGTGATGTCCTCAGAGGGAAACGCAGATACACCTGTCAGCAAATTTATGGATCGGCTACTATCCTTAATGGTGTGTAACCATGAGAAAGTGGGACTTCAAATACGGACCAATGTTAAGGATCTGGTGGGTCTAGAATTGAGTCCTGCTCTTTATCCAATGCTGTTTAACAAGTTGAAGAATACCATCAGCAAGTTTTTTGACTCCCAAGGACAGGTAAAGTGTTCTCTGCTTTATTTTTCACCCTTCCCTATGAATACAGTGTCTTATTTGAAATAATGAAGCCTTTTGATTTCAGATTATTTAAATTAGGTACTGGCGTGAGTATTCACTTACAGTTTTTAAAAACAGGCAAAAATATTTCAGAAAGAAGAGTCATCTATATAGGCATCAGTTTGCTTCTTAGGAACTCTGGTGTGTGAGCTTGCCTAAGGGTATAAATGTCTTGGTATGGGTATGAGTGTCTGTGTGTATCTATGTGCTTGTTTGGGTATATGCCTGTGGGTACATTTCTGCATGTATATGATATTTCGATAAGTCAGTTTTATCTCCCTGTAGCCTGTGTTCTGTGCATTGATGGCAAATCAACAATGTATTTGGTTCTTTGTATAGGTATTATTGACTGACACCAATACTCAATTTGTAGAGCAAACCATAGCTATAATGAAGAACTTACTAGATAATCATACTGAAGGCAGCTCTGAACATCTGGGACAAGCTAGCATTGAAACAATGATGTTAAATCTGGTCAGGTAAGCATTCTACTGAAATGTAGCAGAAACACATTTCAAGAGATAAGAAAAACGTCTTATGCATTGATATTGATAGTTACTGATGAAATGGTTATCTTGTTCTTTACTGTACCCAAAGTAGGGGGACATAATAAGGCAACCAGAAGTTGTGTATGTTCTCATATAAATAAAATTAAAATCTTATTTTTAAACTTGCATTTAGTCATTTTACTTAGAGATTAAAGCATTTATAATACCTCCTGTTCTGTCTGTATCTGATAATTTTAAATATTTCTGTATCTCAATAGATATGTTCGTGTGCTTGGGAATTTGGTCCATGCAATTCAAATAAAAACAAAACTGTGTCAGTTAGTTGAAGTAATGATGGCAAGGAGAGATGACCTCTCATTTTGTCAAGAGATGAAATTTAGGTGAGTCGTCAAAAGAGCAAAGTAGGATTTTGTAAATCTGATGTTAAATGAAGTACAGAAAAATAGTAGGTACCTAGTTACTGAAGGGAAGGGGGAGGTGAAAAAGGAGCACTTCGTATGTTTATTTTCTCTGCTTGTCTTTTCACATTTCCTAAAGCTTTGTGCCCATGGAAATGTTCTCTTTTTCTAGAATTGTGCTATACTTGAACTAAGAATTTGATTCTGTTACCAAACTGATACCAGAGCCAAGGGCCAGTGCAGAGAATCAATATCTAAGGTGCTTGTGTTTGTGCCTTTCTGACTTTAACATCTGTGATAGCAATGTCTCTTTTATAGAGTGGTCATGTCACCCGGGTTATTTGGCAAATTATGTGCACTATTAAAAAATCTTATATGATTAAAGGTGTGTGTCTGTGCCTTTAGTAAAATTGTTATTTCCCTTTTCTCCACCATTCTATAGGAATAAGATGGTAGAATACTTGACAGACTGGGTTATGGGAACATCAAACCAAGCAGCAGATGACGATGTAAAATGTCTTACAAGGTAAAAAAAAAAAAAAAGAGAGAATGACCTTTAAGTATTAGCAGGTTTTAATCTACTTCATTACAGCTGTTATACATATATTTTATGTTTATGTATTTAAGCTGTTTTTTATTTGCTAAGCTTTTGCATTTGAAAGATATGAAGATGTTAATCTTTACTAATTTTTTTAAATGAAAGACTTTCAGTAAATAACAAATTGGAAAATAAGATATGTAAAGCCTTAGATTGTATTTATTTTGTATTAGATAGATGTATTCTGTGAGGAACTTAATTGTATTGAGTGTTTCTAAGACGGAATTGCTTGTTTGCTTTAATAATAAATACTTATTGACACTTATCAGAAAGTGATTAAACACTATGAACTACATAATAACCGTTTACATGTTTCTTTGGGAAAGCCTGGTTTTATATACTTTTGTACATACTTTTGATTCAAGGTAATTATTTTGCCAAGATTACTTTGTAGAAAGTTACTTCCTTCTCCCCAATTTGAAGTGGTTTTGCATTCTGAAGTCTGTATGTTAACTTAAATTATTGAGGTTGCACTAATAATTTGTTTAATGAAATAGGTAGTTCCTAAAGTTTGTATCTGTTAGTAAGAGGTTTATTTGAGGAGAAGGTGGAGTGGAAGAACCTGAAAGACTTACAGTCTATAATTTTTTTTTCTTCAGAGATTTGGACCAGGCAAGCATGGAAGCCGTAGTTTCACTCCTGGCTGGTCTTCCGCTGCAGCCTGAGGAAGGAGATGGTGTGGAATTGATGGAAGCCAAATCACAGTTATTTCTTAAGTAAATTTCAGTCACCAAAACACAAAGCAAAAAACAAATAAAGCCCCACAAACCACAAAACAAAGCAAGTGTAGCCAAAGTGGCAAATGGTTATGTTTAGGAAATGGACCTAATTGCTCTGGTAGTATAGTCATTGGCTGCTGTCTCATAAAATATACCACACTTATGAAGAAATATTCCCCATGCAGGACTGGGATAGGAAAACGACTGTGTTTGTGGTTTTTAAACAAAATAATGTGATCAATGAATTTTTACTTTTAGTAAAACCCAGCTGCTTCATTAAGTCATTTTGAATGACATTGTCTAAACTGTTTGGAGCACTAATTTTATATGTTAAACCTTAAAAAGTGACACTTTTACCAGGAAACATTGCATCTGTTTGGTGTTTATGTTATGAAACGTGTACTGGGCTTTATTAGGATAAAATCGTATTCAACACAGCACTCTTCATAATGAGCCACCGGGGCTGATTACCCCAAGGCTAGAGAGAAGCAGATACCCCAGGGCCACTCATGTGATGCACATGTGATTATTTTAGAATGTCTAGTTAGCTTTCTGGTTGATGTGGCCTTCAGTGTGTAAGGGTCAGTCTTCTTATTTCTCAGGTACTTCACATTATTTATGAACCTTTTGAATGACTGTAGTGAAGTTGAAGATGAAAATGCACAAACAGGTGGCAGGAAACGTGGCATGTCTCGGAGGCTGGCATCACTGAGGCACTGTACAGTCCTTGCAATGTCAAACTTACTCAATGCTAATGTGGACAGTGGGCTCATGCACTCAATAGGTAAGATCAAATGAAAGCTTCATAAAGAAATATAAAGCTTAGAGAACTGGCATGTAAGACAAGTAAAGATTACTTCAGCAAGGCCATGTTAATAAATTTGCATCTATCTGTCCATATCAGGTTTAGGTTATCACAAGGATCTCCAGACAAGAGCTACATTTATGGAAGTTCTTACAAAAATCCTTCAACAAGGCACAGAATTTGACACACTTGCAGAAACGGTGTTGGCAGATCGGTTTGAGAGACTGGTGGAACTGGTCACAATGATGGGTGATCAGGGAGAGCTTCCTATAGCTATGGCTCTGGCCAATGTGGTCCCTTGTTCTCAGTGGGTAAGTTTATTGAGAAGTAGGAAAGAAGAATAGCTGGCACATAGCAAATGCTTCCAAATATATTTGTTCAATAAATGTTTATTTAACGAATTGGTAAAATTTTAGAGCTGGAAGAAACTAGACATTTAGTTGAGTGGTATTCAGGTGTGGGGAGTGGTTGGCGCTGCTAGCCCTTACTCTAGTGTTCTCTCATTCCACCCCACTGAAAAATTTCATTTAGACAATGATTAAAAGAAAATTAAAAATTGCTAATCTGGTCCAGTGTCTTTATAGATAAGGTAATTAAGTTAAACCGAATTTTAGTTAGTTGTTAGTAACAATAGAACTGGAATCCATGATTTGTGCTTATTTACTACTTCCAGTTCGCTATTCTTTTTTCTGTAATGTACAATTTTTTTTAAAAAAGCACTCTATTTTGCATTTGAAATTGTTATAATGCTCATTTTAACACTGAAGACATAATATGGCTATTTGGCCTCCCTCTTAATTTAATGAAAAATTTTCTTAAAACCACATCATTCTTAATAATATATGCTAAACCTTTGAAAAGGGTTGTTGTCCTTTTCCATGTTAAAAAGCCATTTGGTTTATGTTGTACCAAATATTATTTCACTGTATTAAATTATAACAGTAATCTGTCATTGCCTTTAGGTTTGTTTTTGCTTTAAAGCTGCAGGATCATATTTCTCATACTTAGAGTAAAATTCAAAATCCTTACCCTGGCCTACAAGGCTGTACCTGATCTGGGCCCTGCCTCATCTTTGATATCATTTTATGCCATTTTACTTTTTTATTCACCAAACTTAAGCCATACTGGCTACCTTCTATTCCTCAAACATGTTAGACTTGTTTCTGCCTTGGAGTACCCTTGCCGCTACCATGTCAAATGCTTTTCCTCTGATGATTTTGTTTTATTTTGGTAAGAACACTTAACATGAGATCTACCCTATTAACAGATTTCTAAATGTACAGTACAGGATTGGTATCTATAGACATGACGTTGCATGGCATATCTCTAGAACTTATTCATCTTGCATAACTAAAATTTTATACACATTGGTAAGCCATGAGATCTACCCTATTAACAGATTTCTAAATGTACAGTACAGGATTGGTATCTATAGACATGATGTTGCATGGCATATCTCTAGAACTTATTCATCTTGCATAACTAAAATTTTATACACATCAGTAAGCCACACACCCACAAATTATTGAAATTCTCTTGAAGTCTGAAATTAGTTCAGATCTTCAAATGTTTTGAAAATGGGTATTCCGCATTAGCTTTTTAACACCTACCTGTATTTAGCACTAAAAATACTCAGTATTTTCTCCTAATGAAAAAGGAATCAGTTAAGTCAAAAAGCTTTAATTCATTTTGTTTTCTTACAATAAATCATTTCTAATAAGTTTTATATATTAAATGACTTTATTTTGAGAAGGAATTTTATATTAGGCCAGATCTGTTAGAGCTGTATCTAAAGGAGAACTGAATACAAGATATTTTTAAAATGTAATTCTTGGGCCGAGCCCGTGGCGCACTCGGGAGAGTGTGGCGCTGGGAGTGCAGCAGCACCGCGGGTTCGGATCCTATATGTGGATGACCGGTGCGCTCACAGCGCTCACTGGCTGAGCGTGGTGCGGCCGGCCTCAAAAAGGACGAAAAAAAAAATGTAATTCTGTTTTGTAAATATGTTTTTAAATTCTGTTGCCTAAAGTTTTCAGAATTTAGTGGGGAGGGATTGGAGCAAAAAATTTAGAAGAATAGTCTAAAAATAGTTTCTCATAATTGGAGTTTTTATATCTAGTCAAATATATATTATGTAACCATAGAGGGTAAAGCAGAATGTTGGGTCTTCATAATTTTTGGCTTCTAGATTATTTGTTGTTAGGCTTATTAAACTTTTTCCTTTACTTAAATATCAGATTATTGTAATCTAGGATCAGGCAAGAATTAGAGGGCTGTGGGCCATGATTCTGGCTTTTGTTGTCACTGCTTGAGGGTTGAGGCATCTTTTTATGGCTACCCCTTTTCTCTCCAGATCTCTTCTCAACATTTGGTTATACGGTGATTTACTATCAGATCATTTTTCTTGAGTGTATCAAAAACTACTTTACTGTAGGGAATTATAATGGTTATCATTGAGGTAATAGATGGGAAGTTCGGCTCCTACTGACCCCCTCCTAGAAATCTGGCTGATCTCTGGGTTCTGAATTTCCAGTAGTTTTCCTATAGTCTTTCCATTTTTTTTGTTTCTCTGCCTAGTCCATTTTCAGTGTTCACTGAGTTCCCCTACCCATGTGAGGAGAGAATAGAGCTCTTCTGGTCCCCAAAGTCTCATTTCTGCTCAATGATTTTCTAAGAAAATGATTTGTACAAATCAAACTAAACTCTTTGCTGTCAGTCTGTCTATTTTGCAATATAATTTGAGCTGAATCCTGGAATTTTTGTTTCCTGGTAAAACCTAGGCCTTTCTTATCCTTCACCAATTAATCCATAGAATTAACAGCTATTGTAGACATACAGTCACCTATCATAGACAAATGTACACAGATAAATCTCAGGGGAAATATTAGTCACCATCTACCTTGATTTAGCAGGCGGCTGTCAATTTGGATTTGCCTTCTTGCCAATATTCAGCCTCTTGCTTAAGAAAAAAATGGGATTGTTCACTTAACACAATTTGGTTTGTTCTTAGGATGAACTAGCTCGAGTTCTGGTTACTCTATTTGATTCTCGGCATTTACTCTACCAACTGCTCTGGAACATGTTTTCTAAGGAAGTAGAATTGGCAGACTCCATGCAGACTCTTTTCCGAGGCAACAGCTTGGCCAGTAAAATAATGACATTCTGTTTCAAGGTTTGTATTGTTTTTTTTTTTTTAATTTTGTGCTAAGGTATGTCAGGCAATGATTATTTACAGAATGTGCAGAGCAGATTGTCTTCTTTTAATGCAAAATATATAGAGCATGTATAATAAATTGCTACTTGTGTGTTTCTTTAGGTATATGGTGCTACCTACCTACAAAAACTCCTGGATCCTTTATTACGAATTGTTATCACATCCTCTGACTGGCAGCATGTTAGCTTTGAAGTGGATCCTACCAGGTTTGTCTGCTCTCCATTGTTTTACTATCGCTGCATGAAGCAAGACCCTTATAATTTCTCCTCTTGACTCTTTTTTTTTTTTTCATGAAAAAATGACCGGTAAGGGGATCTTAACCCTTGACTTGGTGTTGTCAGCACGACGCTTTCCCAAGTGAGCTAACCAGCCATCCCTATATAGGGATCCGAACCCGTGGCCTTGGTGTTATCAGCACCACACTCTCCCAAGTGAGCCACGGGCTGGCCTTCTCCCCTTGACTCTTACAATTAGTTTTTTTTTTTTGTCCTTTTTGAGACTGGCAGCAGCACGCTCAGCCAGTGAGTGCACTGGCCATCCCTATATAGGATCCGAACCCATGGCGCTGCTGCGCTCCCAGCGCTGCACTCTCCCGAGTGCGCCATGGGCTCGGCCCCTTACAATTAGTTTTTAATTATACAACTTATACACAAATAACGTTTTTCTTAAAAAAAAAAAAAATTACAGTTATCATAAAGATGTCTTTGACTACCACCTCCAGGGACTGTTACTGGTTTAGTCTGTTCTGTTCTTTTTCTGTGTATTTGCATCTACTTATATGTAATTGTAGAAAATATATATTATAATGGGAATGCTTAATATATATGATATATTGTGTGAGGGTACTTAAAAAAGTTCGTGGAAAATAGAATTAAAAGATAGTATGAGTTCTTCTGTGAACTTGTTGAAGTACCCTCATATACATAGTTTTTCAACTTGATTAAAAAAATTTTTTAAAATTTTAACATTTGCCTTTATGTATGTTGTGGGGTACAGTGTGTTGTTTTAATACGTGCATCTACTATATACTGCAAAATCATTCACTTAGGTAGGTAGCATAGTTTTGTACCTGTTAGTCTACCACCTCTCCCCACCACCCCCCTTCCCTCCAGCCTCTGGTAACCATTGTGTGTTGTTTTAATACATGTATACACAGAACAATTGATTTAGGGTAGTTAGCATGGTTTTGCACCCATCAGTCCATCACTTTTCCTCCCACCCTCCTCACAACCTCTGGTAACCATTATTCTGTTCTCTACTTCTATGAGAGCTGCTTTTTTTTTTTTTTTTTTTAGATTCCACATATGAGTGATATGTGGTATTTGTCTTTATGTGCCTGACTTATTTCACTTAACATGATTGGTTTCCAGTTCCATCCATGTTGCTGCAAATGATAAGATTTCATTTTACTGTAATAGCTGAATAGTATTCCATTATGTGTATATACCACAGGGTTTTTTAATCCATTTAGGCATTTAGGTTAGTTCTATCTCTTGGCTATTGTGAATAGTGTTGCCGTGAACATGAGAGTGCGGGTGTCTTTTTGGTATATTCATTTCCTTTGGTTATATACCCAGCAGTGGGATAGCTGGGTTTTAAGGTAGATCTATTTCTCGTTTTCTTAGGAACCTCCATACTATTTCCATAATAGCTGTAGCAATTTACATGCCCAGCAACAATGTAGGAGAGTTGCTTTTTCTCCACATCCTCGCCAGCAATTGTTTCTGTCTTGTTGAGAATAGCCATTCTAACTCATTGTGGTTTTAATTTGCATTTCCCTGATGATTAGTGATTTTGAGCTTTTTTCATGTGCCTATTGGCCATTTGTATGTCTTCTTTTGAGAAATGTCTGTTCAGATCCCTTGCCCATTTTTTAATTGGATTATTTGGTTTTTTGTTGTTGAATTCCTTATATATTCTGGACATTAACCCCTTGTCTGATGTGTAGTTTGCAAACACTTTCTCTCAATCTGTGGGTTTTCTCTTCACTTTAATTGTGTCCCCTGCTGTGCAGAAGCTTTTTAGTTTGATGTAGTCCCATGTGTGTATCTTTGCTTTAGCAACCTATGTCTTTATAGTCTTCCTCAAAAAAACACTGCCCATTCCCATTTTGTGTAGTGTTTCCCCTGTGTTTTCTTCTAGTAATTTCACAGTTTTGAGTCTTAAATTTAGGTCTTTCATCCATTTTGAGCTGATTTTTGTTTATGGTTAGAGATAGGGGTCTAGTTTCAATCTTCTGCAAGTGGATATCCAGATTTTTTTAGCATCACCTATTGAAAAGGCTGTCCTTTCTGCAGTGTACATTTTTGGTACCTTTGCCAAAAATCAGTTGGCTGTAAGTGCATGGGTTTATTTCTGGGCTTTCTATTCAGTTTCATTTATCTGTTCGTCTGTTTTTATGCCAGTACAGTATTGTTTTGGTTATTACAGCTTTATATAGTATATTTTAAAGTCAGATAGTGTGATACCCCTAACTCTTGTCTTTTTGTTCAAGATTTCTTTAGCTATACAGTATCTTTTGTGGTTCCATACAAATTTTAGGATTTTTTTTCTATTTCTGTGGAAAATGTCATTGGAATTTTAATAAAGATTCCATTGGATCTGTAGATTGCTTTGGGTAGTATGGACATTTTAACAGTATTAATTCTTCTAATTTATCAGCACAGGATATCTTTCCATTTATCTGTGTCATCTTCAGTTTCTTTCATCAATGTTTTATAGTTTTCAGGGTACAGATCTTTCATCTTCCTGGTTAAATTTATTCCTAAGTTGGGTTTTTTGTTTCAGATCTTTCATCTTCCTGGTTAAATTTATTCCTAAGTTGGTTTTTTTTTTGGATGCTATTGTAAATGGGGTTGTTTTCTTGATTTCTTTTTTGGATAGTTTGTTGTTACTGTATAGAAATGCTACTTATTTTTGTATGTTGATTTTTTTTATCTTGACTTGAATAAATTTGTTATTAAGTAATTTCACTTTCTAAAGGTTAAAGAATTACTTAGAGAGTGAACTAACTGCCTAAAATAAATCTACTATATTAAGTGCTGTGGTGCAGATAAAAGAATTAGGTGGCAAACTTAATATATTCAGGTTGCTTAAATCAGATCGAGGCTCTCTCTGGTATGTAAAGAGCTTGAAAGTCACCACTCCATGTTCACAACAAGAAAAAAGTTGAAAAATTGAAAATCAGCAACTCTTCTTAGATCCATCAGAGAATTGAGTTTACGGGGCAAATCACCACCCCAAAACTGGAGAGACAGGTGAATACGAAGAATCACAGTTTACCAGGAGAAGCTGCTGCTGGAGCCAGTAACTGGTCAGAATGCTTAGACCGTAATTGATAAGTTGCTGGAGGCTGAGTGAGGACTAGCCTGAGAGTTAAAGCTCCTGGGGCCCCCACACACTTCTGTGAGCTTTACCTCCAGAAGCCTTACCACGTTTTCATGGTGAAGATGGGAGAAAAATCCCCTTGTGCCTTGTGCAAGGGAAGGGGTAAAGTAACCATTTAAAAATATGTCCATAGTATTCTGTTATCCAAACAAAGGCCTGCTCTCAGGAGAAACTACTTTATCAGAACCTTATCTGACCTGGAGGATGGGCAAATTAGCCATCTCTAGTTCCCTCTAGCCCTTCCTGTCTCACATGGCAGGAAGTGTGGGGGTGGCATGGAGGGGGAAAGGCTAAGAACCTCTTCTGAAAGTCACAGCTCAGAGACTTCGGCCCAATAGAACAATGGAGATATAATCAGATTATAGAATATTTCCCTTCCCTAATACTTTTCCATCATATCAACAGGGCTTCAATATATTAACAGTGGATTACAGCTGAGAAAGCTGCAACACAGGGACTGTTTAAGAAGTTTCTAGGGAAACCCAAACACAACAGGGGAGGCAAAAACAAGGACATTAAAGGAAATGGACACCTACAGCTACAGCAAACATTAAACACAACCTAACTCCTAAACATCACACAAAAGGCCTATTTACTTTAGTTTCTGTTACCTGATACGTCTTGTCTAGCTTTCAACAAAAAACTACAAGACATGCTAACAAGCAAGAAAATTCACAGTCTGAAGAGACAAAGCAAGCATTAGAACCAGATTTAGATGTGGCAGAGATTTTGTAATTGTCAGACTGGAGATTTTAAATAATTATGATTAACATGCTTAAAGGGCTTGTATGGAAAACGTAGACAGTGTAAGAACAGATGGGTAATATAAGAAGAGAGATGGATACCCTAAGAAAGAATCAAAAGAAAATGCTAGAAATCAAAGTCACTGTAGCAGAAATGAAGAATATCTTTGGGCTCATTCGTAGACTAGACACAACCAGGGAAAGAATCAGTGAGCTTGAAGATATATCAATAGAACCTTTCCAAACTGAAATGCAAAGAAAAAAAGAAAATCTGTATGAAAATGAAAATATATCTTATCAAAACTTGTGGGATGTACTAAAAGCAGTGTTTAGAGGGAAATTTATAACATTACATGTATATATTAGAAAAGAAGAAAGATCTAAAATTAGTAATTTAAGTTCTCACCTTATAAAACTAGAGAAAAAAGAGCAATATAAGCCTAAAGCAAGCAGAAGGAAATAAAAAATAGAGCAGGAATCATTGAAATTAAAAACAGGAAAACAATAGGAAAAAAAATTATGAAACCTAAAGCTGGGTCTTTGAAAAATCAGACTGAGGGAAATGTTTTATATACATAAACACTTAAATAAGTGAACACAAAGCTTGATTATATAGAATAGCCAATAAGTTATTATTGGCATGTGAGAGGTAAGAGTAGTGTGGCTAGAGGGTGTTGTATTAGATGGACACCTGAAACAGACCACAATGTCCCTCTAACTATGCTGATTCAAAAAGAAGTTCCCAAAAAGTAGATAAGAATTTTCAAGGTTTCTGGGAATCTCTTTGAGCCTTGTTAAAGAAACTGTTAATCTTTTTATTCATATCCCAAAACTTCTACGTCCTCTGTATCTAAGATTTGAATTACTATTGTAGCTTCTTAACTGTTCTCCCTGCATGTAACCCCCATGCTTAGACCCATGTCTTTTCAGTTATCCACATATTCCAAGTTCATTTTCTTCCTCTGGCTTTCCGACAACCACCAGCCTTGACGTATTAATCATATCTTTCTCTCCTTTGCTGTCTTTTAAATCTGGAAAGGAAAAAACAAGCTGCGTTTCTCTCTACTCACATGCAGCAGTCTCCAGATGTGTACAGAATTTCCCCCACATGCCAAGTAATTCTCCAGCAGATACCAACTGGGTGTCCTATGATTCAACTCAATTCTGACACTGTCTGCCTGGAGATAGTCCCACGTCCCCCTCCTCAGGGTAGGCTAATTTGCTTGAGTAGCTCATGAAAGTAAGGGTAATACTTTATTTATATTTATGTATTTATTGTAAAGGATAGAGATAAACAGCCAGATGGAAAAGATGCATAGGGCAAGGTGTGGGGAAGAGGGCGTGGAGTTTCCGTGCCCTCTTTAGGTATATCACCCTCTGTGCACCTCCATTTATTCAACCTCCATGTATTCAGCAACCTGGAAGCTTTTGGAATTTTATGGAGGCTTCATTACATAGGCATGATTGATTAAGTCGTTGGTCATTGGTAATAAACTCAACCTTTAACCCGTCTCCCCTCACTGGAAGTTGAGAGGTGGGCTGAAAGTCCCAACCCTCTAATAATGCCTTGGTCTTTTAAGTGAGCAGCCCTCATCCTGAAGCTCTCTAGGGGACTCCACCTACCAGTCATCTCACTGTCATACAAAAGACACTCATATCACTCTGGATATTCTAAGGATATTAGGAGCTATGTACCAAGAACCAGGGGTAGAGACCAAATATATATGTATCACAATATCCTTTAATTTATTACATCATTACCTAGTGTATAATACCTGGTGTACATGTCTTTCCCCTCTTTGGAAAGATCAAAGGCTAATTATTGTTGAATCCTCAGCACCTGACACTAAGATGGCAAATAGTAATAAATGTTTATTGGATTGAATTGAGTGCCTACCTCACCTTCTTCCTCTTTTTGTAATACCTTACTTCTTTTTGCCTATGCAGATTCTATTTCTCCTTTAGAACTCACCTGTTTCATGAAATCTTTCTTACCTTGCAGTCCGTATTAATTTCTGAAGTCCTACTGTATTCACATGCTGCATTGTACAGTGAACTGCAAGAAATCTGGAATAACTTAAGTATCCAAAACATTTATGTAAATTAGTATAGAAATAGGAAGTTAATAGTTAAGATATTGAAAATAAGTATTTTTTTAATATTTGCTTTGGGAAGGTACTGCACTAGTCTTTAAGAAGACAAAGGTAAATACTTCCTTCAAAGAGCTTACAGTTTAGTAGGGGAGATAAGACATAGTAAGTAGTTAAATAGTGAGTTTCATAAGGGATGTGTTTTAAGTGTTCAGAGGTGGCCAGTTGGGGAGTAAAGCTTTATAGATTTGATAGCCATTGGGTAAAAATTAAACCCCATAAAGTACTCTTTATTATTTCTATCTTATCGATGAGAAAAACTCATGCCCAGAGAAGTTAAGTATTATTGTGACCAAGCTCAATGGTTAATAACTGGTAGAGTTGAAATTTAAACCTAGTAAGTCTGCCTTCAGAATTGCTGTCTTTAATTGCAACATCAAGACTTTAGACATACTGATAAGAATTAACAACACTGATTGGATATGGAGAGTAATGAAGTAGAGCAGGAAAAATTGACATCCAGAGAGCCTGACTGAGGTGATTAATATAGTGATGGTGCCATCGACAGCATTGGGAGCACAAGATAGGACATAAGAGTAAATGGAAAAGTCAATTCATTTTTGGGCATACTGAGTTTTAGGTACTGGTGGAAGGGACATCTAGCAGTTAGAAATGTCAGACTGGGTATGAAAGGCAGTTCAAAACAGGGCAAACCTGAAGGCCACAAATATGAGGGGACTTCAGAAAGTTCATGGAAAAATGGAATTAATAGAAAAGTAAAAAATATAAACTTTATTTCTCAACATAAGCTTCATCAAGTCCAAGACACTTTTGTAAGCAATAATATCAGCTATTTATTCCATCCCTAAACAGCTTAGGGTCCTGGGAATTTAACTATGTCAATGCAGTCTTTTTTACGTTATTAACTGAAGAAAAATGGATGCCTTTTAAAGATTTTTTAAGATTAGAAAACAAACAAAAAAGTCAGAAGGAGCCAAATCCAGACGAAAAGGTGGATGCCTGATGATTTCCTATTGAAACTCTCATAAAATTGCCCTTGTTTGATAAGAGGAATGAGCAGGAGCATTGTCGTGGTGGAGAAGGGCTCTCTGGTGAAGGTTTCCCAGGCATTTTTCTGCTAAAGCTTTTGCTAACTTTTTCTAAACACTTTCATAATAAGCAGACGTTGTAATTTTTTGGCCCTCCAGAAAGTCAACAGGCAAAATGCCTTTAACATCCTAAACTGTTGCCATGACCTTTGCTCTTGACCGGTCCACTTTTGCTTTGACTGGACCATTTCCACCTGTTGGTAGTCATGGCTTTGATTGTGTTTTATCTTCAAGATCATACTGATAAAGCTATGTTTCATCTCCTATAACAATTTGTTGAAGAAATGCTTCAGAATCTTGATTCCACTTGTTCAAAGTTTCCATTAAAAGTTCTTCTCTTATCTGCAGCTGATCTGGGTGCAATGGTTTTGGCACCTGTGGTGCAGAAATTTTGTTCAACTGATTTTTCAGACAGGATTGTGAAAGCTGAACCAATTGAGATGTCTGTTGTTGGGTATTATTTCTGCTGTTAATCATCGGTCCTCTTCAGTTATGGCACAGACAAGATTAATTTTTTCCTTTCACATTGACGTGGATGGTCTGCCTCACCTCAGTGTGCTTCACCTTCAACATCGTCTCCTCCCTTCCTAAAATGAGTTACCTATTTGTAAACTGCGGATTTCTTTGGAGCATTACCTCCACAAACTTTTTGTAAAGCATGAGTGATTTCACCATTTTTCCACCCAAGCTTCACCATCAATTTAATGTTTGTTCTTGCTTCAATTTTAGCAAAATTTATATTGTTCTGATAGGTGCTCTTTTCAAACTGATGTCTTGTCCTTTCTAGTCCTGCAAACTAGATCCTGATTAGACTTGTTATAACAAGTTAGTATGAGTTTATTTTGGTGCAAAAAAATTTTGCAATCCCATGCATAGTTTTTTCATAGTATGAATTTTCCATGAACTTTTTGAAGACCCCTCATACATGGAGCCTGTCTAACCTTATTAGGAATTGCAGAAATAGAAGTTTAAAACATGAGAAGCCCTTTCGTACCTACTAGATTGGTTCACTAAATTTGTGACAATGCTGGGGAATAAGAATTCTTATACACTACCAGATGTACAGCTGTTGGCAGTACCTAATGAAGTAAAATTTGCATATGCTTAATGACTCAGAAATTTCATTTTTAGATAGTTGTCTTAGAGAAACTCTCGTATATGCTCATGAGCGTTCATTGCAGTGGTATCTGTAGTAGTGAAAATTTTTAAATGTTCATTAATAGAACAGATAAATCATAGTATACAATACAATGGACTATTATGCAGTAAAGTGAATTGAACTAGATCATCATATATTAATTAACATGGATAAATTTCAGAAACAGTGTAATTTGCTGTTACTGATGAGAAATTTTAAAAGCCACATCATTTATATGTGTGTATTAATTTTTTCATATGGGCATATACATATAGAGGAATGTGAATAGGAAGAATACCTGCTGTTCTTATTTTTATCTGTTCCATTCCCCCCTTTTTTTGCTCAAGTATTTTAAAGTAAATCCTAGTGATCATGTTTTCAACAGATATAGATTTAAAAAACACACACACAAAGCCCAAGTATTTCCACATCCAATAAAATTAAAAATCATCTCTAATAATACCTAAAATCTGTTTTGTGTTAAATTTTTTCCAGTTGTCTCAAGATTGTCTTTTTTACAGTTTGTTCACACATTGCATTTGGCTGAATGTTTCCTAAAGAATCTCTTTTTTTAAGGAGTGATTTTGTTTCTTTGTTTTGAACAGAAGTTTTTTGATTTTGCCTTTCCTTTTTTTGGTAGGTTAGAACCATCAGAGAGCCTTGAGGAAAACCAGCGGAACCTTCTTCAGATGACTGAAAAGTTCTTCCATGCTATCATCAGTTCCTCCTCAGAGTTCCCGCCCCAGCTTCGAAGTGTGTGCCACTGCTTATACCAGGTATGCTGAAAGTTAGAGGTTACCGTAAGAAGAATGTTTGACCAAAGAGAAATTTAGCTGCTGATAGTGGGTGGTTGACAATAATACTGAGTAAATTTGGATGAGTAATACATTAAGAATTGTTGGAATTGGCTTTGAAAAAAACTTAAAAATAGCTTAGGAGACAATTTGAAAGTACTTTTAGAGAATACTTTCAAATGTTAAATTTTCTTTGCATTGGGAGCAATTTAAAATGCACTGAGTCTATTGGGTATGATGGATGTTGCTGAAATGAGGTATATTATGGAATTTATTTATTTATTTTATCTTTTGCCTCAGTTACTTACAGCATCTTTCACACATAAGGCAGCTCTATTCCTTGCTTTTTGCATTGTGAATTGCTTGATCTGTAAATTTGGTTTCTTCATTAAGATATAATACGTCAGGTTTTCCTAGGACAGACTGATTGTTCTGTTTGTTCTTTGTAGAATGCTACTCATAAGATATATTGCATCATCATTCAGACCAAATTATTAGATTTTCTACCACTAGTACTGCAAGTAATGCTTCTGAGTTCAGATGTCCACAGTCATTCCCTCCTTGTTGAGGGAATTAGGTTTGTGATCTCTTATGGCTTCTATTTTTTTTGAATTGCATATGCAGTTTTAGATATGATTTATTTATTCTAAGGGAGGTCCTGCGAATCCACATTGATCTTTTGTAAACTGATTTTGGAAGAAACATTAGTGGGTCTGGAGTTTGGGATGGGGTAACTTACCAAAATCAATGCCTTTGTGTGTCTCTCTTTGCAGAGTCATCCCCAGCCATTTGTTTTTTTGGCACACAGCTTCAGTTGCTTAGAGACATTAACAGCATCAGTGAAATCACCATTTTAAAAAGCTATTTGAAGCTGCTCTGTGTGAATTTTTCCCCCATTGCTATTTTTAAAGATGTATCTGCTGTATCTATTTTAAAAAAACCCAAAACTTTTCTTAATATACATGGGTGACAAATCATACCTAGTTAGCATTGTCTCTCTTAATTTATTATGACTTTTCTGCTTTTTCAAAAAAACTCAAAGAAGCTTAGGAAAGTCCCACATAATTTTTTAGCTAGTTAAATCTGAGGCTAGAGAGTGGTTTAATTTTAATATGAAACTTAATACAGTGAATAATATCTTCTTTTAAGTTAGGGACTTATTCAGATTTCTCTTTGAATTAATTCAGTAATTTTTTCTGTTTATAAAACTAGGCAGACGAGAAATAGTGAGCACATATTAAAAAAAGTCTGTATCAACTTTTTGGTTGGCTTAGTAGTAACTATGTCAGAGAGCAAATGGGTTTCTAAAATGAAGGTGGCTTTGACTTTAGCTAGTTAAAAGTGAATGGACATTCACTACCTGATTACACAGTCCAGTAGATTTTGGTGGAAATTCTTCATGTGGCTGTTATCCTAAAAGAAAAATGTCTGTATCCTCAGCAAACTAGAAGACCAATTTGAGACCATGATTATGATCATGTAAAAGGATCAGGGCTTGGCACTTATTAAGTACTTAGGAAATATTTAATGAAGGAATAAATTTCTCCATCCCTCCTACCCAAGTGGACAAGATTCTTCCAGCTTTCATAGTTAGGAATGGAAGGAAATAGTGAAAACAGAAAATAGAGCCAGGTGATAATTAGTAGCTTATTAAATACTATGTTATGCTTTTTAGAGCACTTCATAATAAAATATCCTGTATTATCTTAATAACAGACCTAAATTATCATATCAAAATTTTACATAAAATTATTCTCATTGAAGACATTAGTTAAATGTTGTATAAGTGCATTGTTTTGAAGTGTTGGGTAAACTTAACATTGTTGGAGAGTAGAGTTCTATGGAGCAAAGGTATGCTGTGCTATTTGTAAATAGGGCTTTATTTTCTTATGACTGATAACAGGGAATTTTACATTCACTAATTGAAAAGGATAGAAAAAAAGAGCTTTGATCTCAAGGTATTTTTTCATTGAGTCTCTTCCCAAACCTAGTTTTTCCCTTTTCTTTGCTCTTTTGTTTTTATTCACCTCCCCTCTTCTTGCTTTTTCTTGCCCTTCTGACTTTGGCAGTAACATAATGGTACCTTTGTACCTGGGAGTGACAGTTTTTCTTTAGTAAACATGGCTCCTGCTTTGGGACCTCTAGGGAAAATTTAAAAGCTTAGTGAGTATATTGCTAGCTAATAAACTTTTCTGAGCTTTAGCTCTTTTTACTTTCGTTTGTATTTTGGCCATTAAGCCTTTTCAAATCATGCTTTAATCAGCTCTGTTACTTTATATGCCTTCCTTACTTAGTGGACTGTGTTAAGATTATGTAAGAATTGCCAACTGTGAACATGTGTCAGATTTGTAACTAAGTCATTTTTCTCATGTATTTGTTTTCACTTTTCCTCCTGATAGTTTTAGAATACAAAGAATATAATTCCCACAGTGGATATCTCTTATGTTATGGTGAGAGAATTCTGAGAAAGAGCTAACTATTATGATTCTAAATAAATGTGATCTTTTCCCAGTAAATTTGCTTCTGCAAACCGAAGTAGTTTACACAGTTTTTCTTTCAGGCTGTAAATGATAGTTGTATACCATAATTGAAAAAAATGTACAGAACCACATTTTGTGATATATATAATTATTAGTGCTTTTGTATATAGTCTAAAGTTTGAACCAAAGCTCTGTGAGACAAGGGACTGTGTCTCATTTTACTGCTGTCTCCCAGTGCCTCGAATGGTGTCTGGCATGTAGGTGCACAATAACTGCTTGGACGGACGGACAGATGGATGGATGGATGGATGGACGGACGGATGAATGTTGAACTAACTTTAAGCCCAAGTTATGGGTTATGGTATCAGATGCCCAGAATTCCTAGAATAAGATGCCATGTATCAATGGATTAATGAATTCTAACTTGGTTTTTAAAGTATTTTAAAATTACTGTTCTGCCTAGTGTACTCCAGTCAGGAGACTTTTAATTTTGAAGGAACTCTTGGCCTAGAAGGAGCTCTGGGAGGTGAAACCAATATGTCTCTGTGGGTTTTGGGGTTTTTTTGGGTGCTTTCTTTTGAGACATTCAGATAAGTGGTCAACTGTAGTATGTGAAAAGTTTTAAACAGGCTTACAGTTTTATTCTATAAATTTCTCTGCATTTTCTTCACTTTAATATTAATTAATGCTTTTTTCTAGTTGAGCTGATAACATTCTTCCAAATGTTGCAGAGCTTTTAACCTCCTTTAATTAGAACCATTTTAAGAAGTAGCCTGCAAACATTGGAAAATATATGAAATTTTAACAGTAATTTTTTTAAAGAGAGATTTTTAATTCAGAATTTCTAAAGTGAATTTTAATTATATTTAATTTTTATTTCTTTAGTCAATAGGATCTTAATTAAATGCCAGATATTGAAAAAAGAACTTTAAGTCAATTGAAGGATACACAGAGAAATATTTTGCATATCAAGAGAAAATTATGTAGACATGAAGAAATGCTTTTAGTGTGTGATCTACTTGTAATGAACATTTTATACGAAATTTATCAAAAGCTAGGAATTAACTAAAATGTAAATATTTAATATCCTCAGATTCACTGGGGAGATCTTTTCTGTGATTCATAGCCAGAAATAGTAGACATGATTGGGTTTCAACATTTCTCACTGTTTATTTAGAGCTTGGCTTAAAAATGTAATAAAAATAAAAATCCAGAATTAAATTCATCCCACAAAATTCAGTTGATTTCTAATTTTTTGTTGATTCCATTTGTGTTACATTTTATTGTGTAATTTTATGTACAAGCCAACATTGTTTTTGTTGCTGTATGTAGTCGGTGCTGTGACTTGTTTGTGCTCATCTCTGTTCTGTAGGCAACTTGCCACTCCCTACTGAATAAAGCTACAGTAAAAGAAAAAAAGGAAAACAAAAAATCAGTAAGTTTGGAGAACTTTTTATTAGCTGTTTCTTTCAAAGCAAAACAAAAATCTTTTGCTGTTTGTTAAGAACATCTTCACTTCAGCCTATTTGACCTTCACTGTAAAATCATTCTACTAATTCTGGCACAAAATAGCTTTCATTTCAATTAACCCTGGAATTAAGTTACATTGAAACATTCTCTGTGTTCCTTTGGTTTGATTTATCCCAAAGGTATTTTGTGAGCATTTGTTCCTTTGGATATCCTTGGTCTAATTTTATTATTGTTATTTTTAAAATTATAAACGAATGCAAAAGAAACTTAATTTCAAGGATTTAGGAAATGCTGACTCTCTTCATTCTTGCTTCTTATTCACAGGTAATGTGAGTGGTTTCTTTTCCTAGAGGGGAAAGTTTGTCTTAATCATAGAAGTATATGGTGGGAAAGTGTCACTTTCTAAATCTAAAATTGCTAAATTTAGTTTTCTACTCCTTATATTTTCACCTAGACAGTCTCATCCAGAATTCAGAAAATTCTTAGATTACAGAAATTCTAATGGTGAAACCACTTTTACCTCAGAGAAAATCAATTCTAAATTACTGGAATGAGAACATAGTACTTTTGAAATAAAGGAAAACAGTGAGTCCATATTTGTAGAGAAACACTTCATTTTGCAAACGTAATAGGAATATATTGTCTGCTTCTACAAACTTGACCTAATTTAAAGGGAGAAAATTATAATAGTCATAATTATTTTCTTCCAGTGGATAAAATTTGTCCAAAATATAATATGCATTCATTTTAAATTTGCCATTATCTGTCAGTGTGACTTATCAGACTAAGCCCTATCGTTGTTCACATAATCCAAATGATTGTAGAGATAGATATAAAGAAAACTTGTAGGAGTCAGGTAGATAGTTTTTTTAAAAAGGTATAATTTAGAATATATTGTTCATGTGGTTTCATCTTTCATTTCTTGTTTTAACTTTACATATAATAAAACCTTACATATAAACTTCTAAGCTTTACAAATAAATTAAGGTTTACATATAAATTTCCATTTTAAATTCAGAACTAAATTAAAATTTAGAGACATATACTTTTATTATGTCCATTCAAAATTTTCTTTTTGAGTATGTTAAGTAGATTTGGTCAGCTGGGAGCAAATTGACTGGATTGGATGGCCTTCTTGCTTAATAAAGATATTTCTTTCTAGTGCTGCTTCAGCCTGCTAATTCTCAGTGTATGTGGGTTTAACATAATATACACCATCACTTTGAAATTAATTTTCTGTTTCTAACACTTTTGTTCAGTGTTATACTAATGCCATTATGTAGTTTATCACATAAATTAAAATTCAGGCTTTCTGTGTTTCTCTAGAGCATGTTTTCTAGACTTCCTAACATTACTTTATTTATTAAGATTTTGTCTAAAATTGTTCCTTGAAATGTTTTTTTTTTTCTACTAGAGTTATTTTCAGATTTTCTTTTTTTTAAGGTTTCTGGGTAACACTAAGTTTTGGAATGTATTTCTCAGCACAGGTGATGTGATGGAAACAAGGGGAATCTAATTGGTAATTTGAGATATTTTAGAACACATTACAAAGTATGAAGATAGCATAGTTATTGTAAATTTAAAATGTTTTATGGAATTGTTTACTTAACAGAATCTAATGATCTTCTCTTTTAATAGCAAGCCAGCTTTCTTTGGAGGTGTATGTATCATGGATTGGAATATGTAAAATATAGAGAGAAGGTTCTGGCTTCTGGTGTATAGCTGCATAATCATATTATAGATGATTCTGTTTATTGTACTCTAACATATAATATGTAATTAGATTTACTTCGAAGGTTAATTGTCTGCCTGATTCAGAGAGAATTTGCCGTAATTAATCATGTATGGGTAGTGATCTTACTGTTTCTTCTTTTATTTTTTATTTTATATTTTTATTTTTTTGGTGGCTGGCCAGTAAGGGGATCTGAACCCTTGACTTTGGTGTTGTAATTCTGTGCTCTAACCGACTGAGTCAGCCCCTGTGATCTTATTGTCGATGTGCATTTATTTGCATCATGTAGTTCAGTTTTTACCAAGAAAGTTAGAACCCTTGACTTTGGTGTTGTAATTCTGTGCTCTAACCGACTGAGTCAGCCCCTGTGATCTTGTTGTCGATGTGCATTTATTTGCATCATGTAGTTCAGTTTTTACCAAGAAAGTTAAAGGGGACATTGGCTGATAACTGGTTTTATCACATAGACTGGCCCAACTTTGACCTCGTATGCAGGATAAGAATATCTTTTGGATCCAAATTCAAGTTTTATGGATTTAAAAATTTTTTTGAGTTTTTGTTTATTCTGAGATAAAATTACAATAATATTAATCAGTGGTGAAAGAAAAAAGCAGTCCTTTTATAAATTGACTTATGAAATTTGCTATGCAGTATTTTTATTGATATTGGTCATGGTCATGTTTTTTTCTTTCTTTTTTTGGCGGCTGGCTGGTAAGGGGATCTGAACTCTTGACCTTGGTATTATCAGCACCATGCTCTGAGTGAGCTGTCAGCCTCTGATATTAGTTATGTTTTATCAGGTTTTAGTTCCAAAAATATATTGATACTACCATCAGTGAAATATGTATTTATATGATACATGAAACAATGTGTGTTCCTGAGGTGTGGATACTTTGGGTTTTGATATGAATTATTTTTAAAGATGTGGAAGATAGTGAAAGTATAGTACTTTTTGTAAATTTTATACTGTTCTCCTTTTGGGAAATAATTCACTCAGATTTTCATTAAATTCTGAGACTAAATACTATTAAGTATAATAAAGTTACACTTTAAGACATTTTTGTCCTAGAGAAAACCAGTTGATAGCTACTTTGAAAAAATATATTTTAAAAGAGCTCTCCATGTGCATATAAGTTATTGATTTTTATGAGACACTTTCACAGCAGGTTAGTATTTTATAAACTAACTGGTTCTTTGAAAACCAAACTATGACTTTGGCTTTTAAAAGCCATTTCAAGATTTTAATGGGTTAAATTGAATACTAATTTAGTTAAAACAGCCTATTCTTTTAGAACAACTTATTTAAAATTAAATATAAAGCAGTTTTTAATCCTCTTCCCTCTTGCTAACTCTCTCCTTAAAGGCTTTTAGATATTGTAGGTTTGTCAGTGTTTCATTTTAAGATTAAAATTTGGGAGTTCTAAAAGAACCACGCAGTAGCATTGGTGGTCTGTGAACATTCTAAAATTATATGAAGAATTTTGTCTGTGCGAATGTATACATTTACTTTTTAAACTTTTTATCAGATTTCTAAGAGATTCCTAGTTCCCAAAAGACTAAACACTCTACTGGAATATTAAAAGCACTTGAATTTTCTTCTTAGTTCTACATCTAAAACTGTATTTAAGCTAAAAATAAACAGTATTTGTGTTTTATAGTCATTCTGCTAAGGCAGCTTAGCTGCCTTTACCAGTTTCCCCTCATGTAATGGTAAGGTTGTTCTTCATGCAATAAGTACCCAAAGTACTGTAACACAAAGAAAGCTTTGTGAGCATGTAGTGGAAATGAAGGTGAGAGTATATAAAAATCATTCTCTAAAATACTAATCTTTTTTCAGAGATGATAGAAAATTATTTTGAGATTATAGGCAGTGGATAAGAACACATTTAAAATGTGGACCACATGACTTGTTAAGTGGAATAGAATGAAGTGAAATAATCCTTATTCTTTCCAGGAATCAGTGAGCCATGTGAATTCATGACAAGAAGTATTACTTTATCGAGGTGTTGTGAAGAAAAATAGAGTTATGTGAGATTCTGCACATAAATCCCATTTTCTCATTTTCTCCCCAATATCCTTTGAAATACAGGTTTATTCCTGGAATCCCAAAGTACTGAGTGGAGTGTTAGAGTTTTGTTGTTGTAGTCACCACTGATTTAAATAACAGTTAGCCACACAGCAAGAATAGGTGTAGAGATTAAAATGTTACAGGAGTGTTCTTTTAAAATAAATGTGTGTGTGGTGTATATAAAAAATGTAAATTTCAAAATATAATTTTCATATGTTAACTTGATATAAAACAGGGGCACTGGGAAGAGATGGGAGCTGAGCCAGTTTCATAATACTTTTCCCAATCTAATGTACCTATTACTTTATCTTCAATGTAGAATATTTTATAAAGAGAAAATAAAGCCATTTTAAATATTGAGTTCACATTGTTTTTCAGGGTAGGCAACCATTTCTTGAATCCTTAAATATTTTATTTGACAGAATTATAAATTGAGGTAGACATAGGGGTTCTCTCTTCTGGTGGGATCCTTTTTTCTTTTAGGTCCCCAAGAATTCCCATTCCTCCATGGTTTAAATAATATAATAGGTAGGTCCTTATATTATAAAGCATGCTGATGAAGAAAAGGAACTGGCAGTAACATTACTTGTAAGTAAGCTTTTTTCTCTCAGTAGGAATGTAAGAAAAAATTTGGAATATGATAAACATTTTTCTCAAGAAATTCAATTGTACCAGGTACACAACAAAATGTAAATATATACTGTTAGGTGTAGGATGTTTTGGAGGTATGCTGTTGAAAATTTGCTTCACCTTTTAAGAGTTGACCATATTTTCATGTCTGTTAATCTTAGTAAAATACGATCTTGGTATGAAAATTTGGTCTGCTTTCGTTATTCATCAAACTTGGAATATAAATAATGATGATAAAATAAAGATCTTTTTTCAGGTCTCTTCTACACAACTCACCCGTGAGATTTTTCTTACCTCTGAGATACCACAATTGTGCTTTAAAATGATGCAAGACTAGAATTGAGGGTAAACTTTATTTTTTGATGTTTTGGGAGAAGGAAAAAAAAATAGAAATGTGTCATTCATGAAGATTGACCAATTCAGAGTTTTTGTGCAGTTTGAACTTTGAACTCTTTGTTCCCATTTCCTTATTTTAATTCAAACCTTAAACTCAGTTCTCAACTCTTTGTTTTTAGGTGGTTAGCCAACGTTTCCCTCAGAACAGCATCGGTGCAGTAGGAAGTGCCATGTTCCTCAGATTTATCAATCCTGCCATTGTTTCACCATATGAAGCAGGGATTTTAGATAAAAAGCCACCACCTAGAATTGAAAGGGGCTTGAAGTTAATGTCAAAGGTGAATTATTTTGATAATCTAACTATCCTAAATTTCCCTTTTAATTAATTTTCAGTTTTTCATACTCACCGTACTTCCTCTTGAATTTACTTTTGAAATGGCCTATGGTTTTCAGTTACGTGTTCTTGTTTTACTTTGTTTATATTACAAAGGAATTCATTAGACCAGTACTTGATGGGTGGGCCTTACTATGATGTGAAAATATTTTAGCAAATGCCTTGTCTTCTGAAGATAGTTTTCGGTGTAATTGTTCTGGAAATTCTGAATCGGAAACCAAAATGTAGACTGTAGAATTTTTATTTTTAAAAACATCAAAAATTTTTAATATATATTTTATATTTATAAATATATGTATATATAATAATTATATTTGTATTGGGAAGAATAGAAACAATACCTAGAGTAATTTGTAGAATGAGGAATAATTGATTTTAACTGCCAGTAGAAATTTTATCACTGAGAAAAATCATATTTTTAAAGAATATATTAATGTACCGACTTTATACATAAATAATCTGATTATTTATAACACTGTTTTATTGTTTAGATACTTCAGAGTATTGCCAATCATGTTCTCTTCACAAAAGAAGAGCATATGCGGCCTTTTAATGATTTTGTGAAAAGCAACTTTGATGCAGCACGAAGGTAAGCAGCCTGCCACTGGGTCAATTGCCCGAATCAAATATTTTTGGTCACCTAAGTCCATGTATCAGGTCTACCTGAAACTCCTGTGTAGGTTTTTTTTTTTTTTCTTTTCCCTCTCTAGGTCAAGAACATAATTTGTCTTATTTTATTTTACTATAAAAGACAGTCATGAAATAAGTCTATATTCTTTATAGTTTGGTGGTGATGTCCATATTTGAAAACCAAGAGGGATTTCTGACATATCTACAAAAGTAAAGGATTTGACGTGGCTATGTTATGGGGGCAATGAAGAAGGAGAAGATTCCTTTTACCAAAAACTAAAACCAAATTGGTATAGATAATGCATAACATTGTATAAGCAGAATTTTTTTGATGTTAGAGTATTTTTGGTACTTCAATTTGAAAGTGTATGTGAACTAAAAAGTTACTCTTTAAACCGTACGATGCATACACGTAAGATTTAGTTCATGAGTAACTGAATAACTGTTGAGGCTTTATGGTTTTAGAAAACTTTTCTGCCAGATTTCACTTTCTGTTAAGGATATTGGAGTTTAAAAAGTGGATTGCTGGACTACAAGCCATATTGGAGAGAAAGTGAATGTCAGCATAGGGTTCATATTCTAGTGGATTGTCTACCCACAGAAAGTTAAGAAAACCAAGGTTCTGATCCTGACTCTGATCTAACAGGCTGTGTAATTTTGGTGAGGTCTTTTATCTTGTCTGGGCCTCCCTTTCCTTATCTGTGAAATACTGCTTCTCTCCAAAGTCTCATCCATCTAAATTTTGTTCTCTGACTTTATACCTGGCTTTAGCTTCAGAATAGACTATCAGAAATGAAAAGCCAACTTTCTTCTTGTTTTTCTTCCTTTGTTTAATTACAGTCACATCATGTGAACAAGCTGTCTAGTTTGTAATCTCAGTTATGTCACAAAGTTTCTTCATATAAATTTAATTCAAACATAGTTATGAGTGTATCTGGTATTGAAACTTCTAATGATTTTGTATTTTTGAAGGTTTTTCCTTGATATCGCATCTGATTGTCCTACAAGTGACTCAGTAAATCATAGCCTTTCCTTCATCAGTGATGGCAATGTGCTTGCTTTACATCGTCTGCTTTGGAACAATCAAGAGAAAATTGGCCAGTATCTTTCCAGCAACAGGTAAGATTTCCTAGTGTAAGAGTAGGAAAAACAAAATCTGCCAAAGTGCCTTTCCTGTACTCTTACTCAGTAATAATCATAGTCAACACAGAAGACAGATTTCTGACTTTTGTGACCAAATGTGTGGGGATTTCTCCCCACCAGCAAGCAAGCAAGAGAGCAATCAGTTCTCCAGCAGACACCAGCTGGGTGTCCTTCAATTCGGTTCTGACACTGTCTACATGAGGATAGCATCAGATCCTGTAGATTGAGGGCCCAGTCCCCAAGACTGCCCCCCACTTCAGATGCCAGTTGTTAGTTAAATCCTCTGGAACTTCTGATCAGCCAGCCTCTGGAACTTCTGATCAGCCAGCCACCAAGGTTCCCACTTGGGTTCAATTAGTTTGCTTGAGTGGCTCACAGAACTCAGGGAAAGACATATTTACATTTACTGATTTACTATAAAGGATATTACAAAGGATACAGACGAGATGCTTAGGGCGAGGTATGGGAGAAGGGGCACCCTCCAGGAACCTCCACATGTTCAGCTATTCAGAAGCTCCTGAACCCAGTGCTCTTGGGTTTTTATGGAAGCTTTATTACATAGGCATCATTGAAGTGTGGACATCCATGTAGAAACATGATTGCACAAAAAGGGTGTGATCTAACACTAACCAAGGGAAGACATCCCCTTGAACCCCCTAAAGGTTCTCTGAAAAATCACCTGATAAACACAGATTAACATGAAGAAAGGCATAACAACTTTTATTATATCATAGTCTTATATGACATTGGGGCCTTCAGAATAAAGACCCAAAGATATAGGGAAAATCGTCTATATTTATGCTTAGGTTCTATAAATGTGATTGGACAGCAAAAGTGTGATCTACTGCTAATAGACTGAGAAGGGAAACCCAGCAAGGCCTGTCTGTTCAGATTCTTCTTGGCCTCTCCTTTCAGCATTTCTTCCTCCCGGGTATGGGGTAGGACCCCTTCTCAAATAGGAGTCTTATGACCTCCAGTCAGATAAGGTAGGTCAGAGAATTTCTTTATGGCCAGCTCCAAGACAGAATGGTGAGGGAAGGTTAGAACAAGCCAGGAACTGTGGATAAAAACCAAAATATACATGTCATAAAATGATACCCATTCATGGGGGTATTGAACACTTTCAATTTAAATTTATATTAATAAGATTATTGGTCATGTTACTGAGGAAGAGCTCACTGCCTGAAGCTCACAGAAGCCAATACCATGGCTCTGGTTTTTGAGAAAAAAAAAGACAGGATGCAAGGCACTTCAAATCTGTCTTCTTCATCCTGGGCCTATGCAGACTTCAGGGGGTATTTAGTATCCCTGATTGGCCTACTCTGAGTCAGGCCATCTGAAAGGGTGATAGTGTATTTGCTAGTCCTAAGTCAGGCCATATGACACAGTGAGAGTGGATTGGACAATTCCAAGTCAGGCCACATATGTTAATGAGGCAAGACTGATTGGCTGGCTCCATATCACACCATATGACGAGGCAAAGAGTGATTGGCTAGTAAGTCAAAAGCTGTGAATGGTTGGGTCTGAGTCCTGTCCCTTGGTGGAGGATTTTTGGGTTCCTGCTTGAGGTCATATGGAGGTCAAGGTCCTCTGCTCAGCTTACACCCTGCAAGGTAACTTTGAAATAACTTGAGATAGGGAAATAAAACCAGTTTCAGCTAATTTTAGATGGTTTAGTCATGAATAGTGCTTTTTACTTTGCATCTCCTTGGAGTAAGAATTATGGTTTGGAAAGAGAAATATAGACCCTTTTCTTTAAAAAAAAATGAGCAAAAAGTTATATTAAATAAATAATAAATAAGCCCATGTAGTTGCTACCGATTTTTTTTTTTCTGGTTTGCAAACTGACAAACATACGTGCAAGAAGACAGATTTAAATTTACTAGAAGTTCAAATGAGTATTGGCATTTGAAACTGAAGAACAGCTAATTTTTAGAAATTTAGTAATTAAGAAATTGCCAATGTTTGAATTGTATAATAAGCCCATTTTTGATATTCTATGTATGTGCAAATAAACTTTATATACATTGTACTCAATAATTGAAATTATTAATTTGGTAGTTGTTTCATTAGCTGTTTTTAATTAAAGTCTCTTGTAGCATAAATTACTTGCTGTTCTTTCTAGTTGTGTAGGCCTATAAAGGGCTCAAATTCCTGTGTATGAGGAGTTTCCTTACAAAATTAAAATGAGACCAGATTGTTTTTAAATGCCAGCAGAAGTAGTTGGCTCATTTGTAGGAAAGGTAGGAGACCATGAAGCTAAAGATAAGCAATTAGGGGATCGGAGGTTAAAAGAGACGGCATTTTAATCCTTTATGAATTATTAATAGATTGAAGTAGATATGGGCATGACTGATGCATGCTGCTAAAATAGAAGAATGAAGGTGTTTATCTGTGTGAACCAATATAAACTGTGGAACTTTTAAATGCAAATATTGTTTTCTCATATGATTTACATATATATTCATAGTTTGATGCTAGAGAATTTTTAAAATTTGGTTTTTAAAAAATAATATATTGTTTAAACATATAAAAAAATATAGACAATAATATAACAGAGACTTGTGTCTACCACCTGGCTTTAACGTTATTTATTTTGCTGTATTAGTTTAGATCTTTATAACATTTTACTTTTGGGGAGGGTGTGTGCATGTGTGTGTGTATTAAAGGCTTCCTTTCAACAATACCATTTCTATACTTCTCTAAAGATATCTGCTTCCTAAGGCTGGTGGTTGTGCTTCCTGGATATGTTTATATGCTGTCCTACATATATATGTAACTGACAAAAACAAGCAAATAGGTATATACAGCATAGATTTTGTGTTATAAAATTTTGCAGCAATGATATAGTGAATTTAGCCTCTTCACGACATATTCTTTTTGATACTTACTATTTATTTACCTTATGTTGATATTTTATGAAATGACTCTATCACAGTTTATTTTTGCATTCACAAGTTGATGGACATTCAGGTTTGTTTCCAGTTTTTCACTACTGTGAATAGTGAGGTAATAAATATCTTCATGCTGTCTCCCTTTGTATTACCTAAATGTTTAGTTGCTGGGTCCAGGCTACACCCAACCTCAACTTTATTAGATATTGCCAAATTGCTTCTCAAAGTCTGTGTGGCAGTTTATGCTTTTACTGATTCTGGTGTTTATCCTCACTAAAGCGGGCATTATCAGACTTCATAGCTTTTGCCAGTTTGATGTTTGTGAGATAGTTCGTTGTTATCTTAGTTTTACATGGTCAGTAGTTGTTGAAAATTCCTATTTCACCTGGGTAAGCAGAGATCTTATATCAGGGGCAATACATTCAATTCCTAAATAACGGTTTCTCAGGATGGATTCTTTTCACCCGGAGAAAAAACTGATCAGAATGTTATTTTTACTTATTGTTTGACCCATTAGTGGCAATGGATTATGAATTCTAGGAAAAAAATTGAACTTTTTAATAAATTTTATAGTTTGGGGAGCGATCTCTATTTCTAAGATGTTTCAGTGTATGCTTATAATTCCTAAAGTCATTTTTGGTGCTATTTACAAATCATCAGGGAGCATAAGCTACAAATAAAAAAAAAAGCAACCAATGACAACTTAAAGAAATGTGTACTGCTAAATGTGAACTGCTACATTTTCTAAGTAGTTTGCTGTATCTAGGGATCATAAAGCGGTTGGAAGACGACCTTTTGATAAGATGGCAACACTTCTTGCATACCTGGGGCCTCCAGAGCACAAACCTGTGGCAGATACACACTGGTCCAGTCTTAACCTTACAAGTTCGAAGTTCGAGGAATTTATGACTAGGTAAAGTACAGTCTTGAAATGATTGTTTCTTTTTAGTTGAGGAGCAAAGTTTACCACCGGGTTCTTGTTATGTATGCTTGTATTTTTGATAGAAGATTATCAGGAAAGATGTACCTAGTAATCATTTTGCCATGTTTTGGGATCCTACTTTTCTCCTACTTTATATGTTATTGAAATATATACACGTTGTTTTATATGTTGATTTTCTTATAATAATAATAGTGTCTTATTGAATTATACTCTATCATATTACAGTTAAGGAAAATGCATCTCATTGTGAATAACTGATTTGACTAAGGTTGCACATCTAATTCCTGGGTTTTTTAGGTGCTGGAATCTTTCTACCACAGTATAACATTTTCCAGAACCCTCCTAAAAGTGAATGGTTTTAACTTCTTTTAGATTAAGGCTCAGAGAACAGCATACTCTAATGTTGCTATAAAACTTCGGTAGACATTTGTTTTGAATCTCTTTTAGAGGAATTTAGTTTGTGACTGAAAGATCCTCATTGTTAGACACTTACCTGTATGTTATATTGAAGGTAGTTTGCTAAATCTTTTTAGTCTTTAAAGTACTTTTCACAGTACTTTACAGATAGTGCTCCATTGTGTCTGTGGGTTGAGTGTTTTGTACATAGTATATGCCAGGGCCGAAAGAAAATAATAGAATCTAACGTTCAGAAGTTAATTCACATTAAAGATTTGTATGTAATGTGCCTTGAATTATAAAGTGCCTGTTATTAATCATATTATATATAGGTCATAGTTTTGTACACATATCTCTAGTTCATTGTTAAAAGAGTATGTGAACATATAAAAGAAGATATATGCATATAAGAATGTATGAATACATAATAGCCTTTCAACTTAGTTTTTTATTTTTGGCTCTATTAGATTTTTCTCAGTGTAACAAATATTTATTCCTGTGTAATTTGCCATTTTTCTAAGAAAACTCCTTTATTACTCCTTTTTGCCTAAGATCCTCCCTTCCCTTCTCAATTCTCTGTGCTTTTGAAAGCTATATGATCTAGTATGTGTAATATACTAAGAACAGTGTCTGGTACATGTAAAGTGTTTAATATATGTTCGATGTTATTTTTGTTCTCTTCTAAATTCCCACTGGTGCTCTTGGAGACTCATTTTTCTTTTTTTAAAAAATGAAGGTAGCATTATAACATTCTCAATTATTTAACAAAAACAATTATCAAAGTACTCAAAATATAAAAATCTGAAGAAGAAAATAAAAAAAGAAATTTTCTCTTATCCCACCTCTTAGAAATAATTCAGTTAACATTTGATGAGTAACCTCCCAGTCATTTATCTATTCACATGTATGCCTGTTTCCCCTATCAAATGATATCTTGGCTGTTTCCACTAATATTCAATAAATGCTGACCTGGTACCTGCAACCTGATGCACTGAGCTAATACAACCTCCTCTCAAGTCATAAGACACATAGAAATACTAGGTAAAAGAAAATGTATTTTGATATCTTGGCTGTTTCCACTAATATTCAATAAATGCTGACCTGGTACCTGCAACCTGATGGACTGAGCTAATACAACCTCCTCTCAAGTCATAAGACACATAGAAATACTAGGTAAAAGAAAATGTATTAAAAAAAAATTTTTTTTTAAATACGTAGCTGGGAGATATTTTCTGAGCAAATTACCTAGAATATAGTCAGTACAGAGAGATAAAGAAATGGAAAATACGAAAGAGGTTAAGAGATGTAGAAGATAGAATGCGAAGGCCCAACATATGTGTCTAGGAGGTGTTGCAGACATCAAGCTTAGTGAGAGTGGGGAAGAGGTAATATTTGAAGGGATAATGGATGGGAATTTTCCAGAGTTGGTGAATGACATAAATCTTCAGATTAAACAAGCACACTGAGTCTTGAGTAGAATATATAAAAATTAAAACATGCTTTTTCAGAAATATGTTTCAGTACATATGGGAACTTAATATATGATAGAAGTGGTATTCAGAATCAGGGAGATGAGGATGGATTTTCTATAAATGGTGCTGATACAACTGAGTAACCATCTGGAAAAAGATCTTTATACTGTTTATGAAGATAAACTCCCATGAATCAATGAAAAATACATGGGCAAAGGAAGGCCTTTCTCATCCATTCAGAATCCATAAACCAGAAAAGAAAAAGTTGATAAAGTTGATAAACTGAACTCATGAAAAATAAATAAATGAAAACTCAAAAACTTCTTTCAGGAAAAAAATACCAAGAATAAAGACAATTCCATCGTTAATATCTCTGTCTAGTAGATTTCTTAGAATAGTCCTACAAGTGCTTTTATGGTTCGAAGAATAACACCTTGAAGTTTTTGGTGCATATTGCTAAATTGTTCTTCAGAAAATGTTGCTTTTTAAATATTTTGACTTTTTTATATTTTATCATTGATCCAATTGTAGATTCTTGTATATACTAAATGGACTATATAAAGCCTCTGAGTTACTCTGCTCTTTTTTCTTTTAGGCATCAGGTACATGAAAAAGAAGAGTTCAAGGCTTTGAAAACGTTAAGTATTTTCTACCAAGCTGGAACTTCCAAAGCTGGGAATCCTATTTTTTATTATGTTGCACGGAGGTAAGAATGCTATGTTTTAGTCTCTCTTAACAGAGTTTTAAAAATAATAGCAAATGTAGAGAGAGAGCAGTTTGATTTTTCCTATTTGACTTAACAGGAATTGAAGTACATAGCTGGAAGTATATAGGTGGATAAACAGCCATCCTGTCCTAAAATGATGCTCGGTATATTTGAAATTGCTTTTCATACTACCCATTTCATATTGGCTTCTCTTTCCTACATCAATTGTTTTAATACCACCTACAATGGATTAATTACCAAGAGTGAAAAATCACAAAGAATCTTTTGTTTTCAAATATATTCCAATTAAATAGTATCCACATGATAATCAGGAACTTTTTTTAAAAAAGAAGAAATAAAACTTTAAGAGCCTGTTTCTAAGAACTTTTTATAATAGGCTGTGTAAGACAGCATCAAGGTAATTTAGAAGATAATTCAGAAGAGCTGTGAGGAATCTATAGATATGGCACAAGGGACAGCCTGGAAAATTGATTGTGTTTGTTCATATTGTCCTCAGTCAAGGCTAGTTCCTAGAAAGCCTTTCTGGAAATGCTCTGAGCTCCTCCTTAATGATAGGTACAATGCTTGCCTTGCTTTCTCTGCCATTGTCTTTATTTTCTTGCCTCATTCTACCTTCCTTTTGAGAACTCTTATGTGACATTATTTGGTCAGTTTTACTTCTAATCATTTAGCATGACATAAATTCATGGTAATTAAACCTTAGAGACAATGTGGTATAATAGAGAGATCACTGATCTTGTAATCTCAAGGACTATGTTTAGTCTTAATTCTGCTATTCGTTAACTATAGGACTTAACCTTTGAGTTTCCTGAACTTTACAGAAATTGAGGAATTTTATCAGTAGACTTTATGGTCATGGGTGGCAAAAACTTGGCAGTGTGTAGGGAAGATTGAGGTTGAGAGATAGAGGGAGATGGGTGAAGAAAGAAAGGTGGAAGATGGGAGACTTGTTTTATCAGATAATTCAGACAGCCTTAAGACCAAGAAGTCCAAAGAACTGAGGGATTAGGGAATCAGGTAAGAAAACTGCCCTTTTTCTGTAACAATGCTGAATAACATCTCTTCACTTTCCCATGAAAGTCTCTTTCCAACTCTCATCTCAGTTGCCATTTCTAAATTGCTAAGGTAATTTTAACTTTCTTTAGCATTTGAGATGAACCATATTTGTATTCCAACACAACCTTTAATATAACCAAGATATTTTGACTTTCCCTATTTTGTCTGTCAAAATAAACATTGGTGAGGGAGGTAGATATATGTGTCCACCTGCCCAGGTTCCCTTTTAAATTCTTGTTAGTTTACAAGTAGAAAAGATTTCTGGAGAACATCAAATCTGGGTTTTTTTCTTCAGGATCAGAAACTGTAAGTTTGTGTTCCTTGTCTGTGGTGATCTAGAAGAGGCTAAACAAAAGGAGAATGGGCCTGATGCAGATCCCCTCAGTGGGATTAAATCAGTAGGGTTTCCACTAACCCTATATAGTATGGTGGCTTGAGAGTGCTGAGAATTCCCAGCTCTGCTGCTTATTAGCTATGTAATCTTAGATGAGTTAGTTTATTTTTGTGAATCCGTTTCTTCGTGTTAGAAAGGGAGGGGATGTGTTTATAAAACTATCTACCTCTCCTATAAAGTATTTTGTGACCTACAAAATTGTGTACAGAGTAAGTTTGGGGTTTTCTTTTTTTTCCTTCTTGGATATGACCTTGCTAATTTCAGATTTTCAATCCTTTTCTAGAAACTATCTACCTCTCCTATAAAGTATTTTGTGACCTACAAAATTGTGTACAGAGTAAGTTTTGGGTTTTCTTTTTTTTCCTTCTTGGATATGACCTTGCTAATTTCAGATTTTCAATCCTTTTCTAGTTTTTTTCCTTAGACCTACTAGAGCTCCTCCTGGCCTTCATTTTCACCTGGGGTGAAGCCTTAAGCTCCAGGACAGATATGCACACAGTAGATCAGAGCAAAGAGAGGCCCAGTTTCTCTGTTGTACAAGTCCACAAGTTAGTGAAGGCCTTGTATCTAGGCAGCCAACGTTGTCAAAGAGCACTTGGGTTTGACTTCTCTTGATATTCTTGTGTGTCTGTGGCTTAGACTACCATTACTAGGTATTGTCTTTTGAACTGGATTCCAGTCTTCTTACAGACTGTCCACAGACATTTCAGACTTGAAATTTCTAAAACTTATTTCAGCGTATATTCAAATCAGCCTCCTCTTCACACCATATTCTTTCTCAGTAGCATCATCATCCCTTCCAGTTCCCCACTGAGAAACCCTAATGGTTTTAATTCTTTCCTCTTTCTTTTATCTTCCTCATTGTCAGTCACCAAATCTTGATTTTACCTATAAGATCCTGGCAAATCAGTTAAGATGTTTTAGTTAGGCCTTTGTTATTGCAAAGAAGTCATTCTTATTTTCTTAAGAAGAAAGTCCTCAGGAAAAGCATGAATTAGAGCAGGGCCTGCCCAGATGTAGAAAGAATTAGACAGCTGTCAGTTCTGGAACTAGCTTATGCTCTTTGACTCTCTCTTGACTTTGTGTTTAACTCAAAGTTTGACTTATGAATTTCTTCTTTCTGTATCCTTTCAGCTTTAGCCTGAGCCAGTAACCCCTTTATTACCTCAGTACTGCACATCTGAAATTGCAGAAAGAAAATGTAATTCAGCTAAAAAAGTATCTCTGTTTGGCAAAACCTTTGATGCTAGGTTCTGGCCAGCCAATAGATTTCTGGCTGTCCCTAAGTCAAGTACGTGATTCTAAATGTGACCATACAATGCTGTTCCTTCATCAGGGGCTGTCCTTAAATATGTGTTTTAATTTTTGTTTTTTAAAAATTGGGTCTTAATGGTCTAATATTACTATTAAGTATCTTGGAAATGTTTTTTGAAACCATTTTTCCCCCACTGCATTGCTGGAACTCTCATTATCTCTTACTTATATTAATACAGCATTATTCTCTTCCTCCTCCTCAATCCCTAGATGACTGCTTCCAGGCCATCTTAACCTTAACTTCTGGAGGCAGTTTCCAGTACAAATCTAATCTTGTCTTTCCCATTGACTCCCCATATAAAGTCCAAGTTCTATAGTCAGGCATGCAAGGTGTTCCATAGTTTTGGCCTAATTTACTTTCCTAATCTTTCCCTGGTATTCCCTCCCATATACTTATGCTCTTGCCCTATAGTAGTTAAAGTATTATAAATACAAGGACAATTGTTGCGGTATTGTTTATAATGGCAAACAAACAAAAAAACCAATATAACTGTGTTTCAGAAGGGGAGTTGCTGAATAAATGATGATGCATCTATGTTGTGGAATAATGTGTTGAGTTTATTTTGCTTGTTGCAAGTGATAAAAATACAATTCAGATTTGTGTATATCCAAAAGGGAATGTACAGCTTCTTGCATGACTAGATGTAGAACTTTGAACGATATCATCTGGAGAACTTCTGTCTTCTCTGGCTCTTGACTCTACTTTCTTGGTGTTGGTTTTATTCCCGGACAGCTCTTCCCAAGCTGTGGCCAACAGTGGTTTGTTTTTTTCTCAGCTTAATAACCCCAGTGGAAAAATACCTCTTTCCCAGTAGTTTCAGCAAAAGTGGTTGGTCTTACTGGCCTGGCTTGAGTCATGTGCCAATTCCTAAGGCAGTCATTATGGCAGAGGGGATGTAATGTCTTGGTTATCTAGGCATGGCTCATGTGCACATCCTTGGAGCTCAGTGATGAGGCCAGCCCTACCTACATGAATTGTGTGAACTGAAAGGAAGGCACAGGAGCAGGGTTTTCCAAAGAAAAATTGGATTGCCAATACCAGAATAAGGAAAAACAGATGCTGGGCAGGCAGAAGTAACAGAAGTCCTTTATATGCAGCTTTAAAAGGACCCAGAAAGATCACTTTGATACTTTCCTTACAAGGTACAGAGTAATGTGTGGGTGTGCACATGCACGTGTGTGTATTGACTGAGAAATGTGTAAAACTACACATTAAATTGTTCACATTGCTTATCTCATGGGAGTATGACTAAAGGAAGTAGAGGAACAATTATAATATTTGTTATATATCTATGTTGTTTTATTTGTTGTCAAAAGGATATATTATTTTTGTGAAAATAATTAAAAATATAAAACCTAATAGTTACAATGAAGAATTTTCCTCTTTGGAATGCCGTGATATCTGGCAATTGCTTTTTTGGGTGGTAGTAGTAATAATGATAATAGCTAACATTTACTGAATGTTCTCTCTGCATCAGGCAAACTGCATATTATATAATTTCTCATTTAATCCTTACAATAACCTTCTGGGGTATTATTATGAATGGTAATTGACATGTGTATAAACTGAAACCCAAACCTAACTATCAGAACAATCTGAGGAATTAAAACAAACATATCCCCAACCCCCAACCTGGGCTGCCAAATCAAAACCTCAGGGGTAGGGCCTAATGTATATGTTTAGCAGGTACGTCAGGTGATTCATTCGTAGTCAGTTTATGACTAGTTTATTCGGGAATCCCACTGGGTCATTTTTTTAACCCACGGTAGCACAACTAGTTAGAGTCAGAGTTGAGTTTCAAACCTAAGCCAAAGCTCTTTACCCAATAACATGGTTATTATAGCTATGATTTATTATTATTTATTATTTAGTATATTATTACTTCTATAGGTTTTTAGGTTAAATCAACTTTTGTAGAACAGCATGAAAATCTAACTAACAGTTATGAGATAAATTTCTGTAGGGAAAATGAGTTCTGAATTCCAGACATCTGATTTACAAATGATCTTTTGAAACACAAGACAGGGGTTTACTCCAAATAAAATAATCTTGTCATTGGAGCAACAATATTATGCATTACAGAGGTCAGCAGAATTGGCAGTGATTTAATGGAATGACATATTACCATTACACATTCCTGAAATGTGATAATACTGGCTGTGTTGTTTTGTAGAGCATTATAGTTTCTCCTCACTAGATTAGCTTTTTTTTGTA